AACAGTCCAAAGTACAAAGTGTCAAGCATGATGTGCTCATAACTGTACCTACGTTAGTTGTAAAATAGACCAAAGTTGTGGGGCTATTACAAAACTCTTATGTACATAAAAACTTCCTTGATTAAAAGTTAGAAGAGAGATCAAGTCCCGAGCTCGTCACTTGATTTTGGAAACTTTCTTTTTTGCACATTGACATGTTTTTGCATTTAACTGTTACCCTTTCAAAGTATTCATTAATTATTTATAGCGAATTTTCTATAAAAATGACTTGATAATCTTGACAAATTCTTTACTTGGTAACTCAGAACCAAGAGATAGATTTCTGTTGCAAATTTCCTGCTACGCTGCTAGGGCAGCGACAAAGGGTCAAATTCTATAAAGTTTTGTATTTTTCCATTTTAACTTTAATAATTAAAATAGTTGCTTTGTGTGATAGTAAATTACATACATACTTTATATTTTGACATTAGCATAACACCATAATTAAAACAGGTAAATAGATAGGCACCGTCTTATCTGGCGTCTTTACCTTTCCCGAGTAACTTTACGTACGTCACCATGCGACACAAAATTGATAGTGTATTGTGTAAAACGAGTCAGTGGCCCTTTTTCCCAATTAGTTGAGGGCAACACCAAAAAAATTAAAAAAATAAAATGTCGTTTTGTCTATTCGCGGTATTTAGCGGTTATTGCCCGACCCTCCAAACTTTTAATTATTGTAAGATAAATACGCCATACCGGCAAGGGAAGTTATACATGATGTGTAGAATATTGTCAGGAAGGTGATTTTTAGGTTTTGGGAACGTTTGATTTGTTTTAGAGATGATAATCGTGCTAGGTAATGTTACTATTTAATAGGTAAAGTTGCAACAACCGCTACATTGGGATACATTGGGATTAGACTTCTTCAAACATATAATTAGATTACTTTATACTGTATACTTTATCTACTCAAAAAGAGGAAAAAAATAGTCTACTTATCAAATTAAATATATTTCCGGTAAGAAATATGCCATATTCAAAGCGAAACAAAAGAAAGTTGGGAGTAAGGTCTTATACAAACTATTCACTTGAGATGTTAGAGTTAGTTAGTTAGCATAGGGGTTTCTGAGTTTAGGACAACAACAACAAGACTCATATATTTAACAGTAAACTTTGTGTGTAGCTAGGCACCTACTGGTATAAAAATGTTAAATAATGACTGACAGATTTGATTAAACAAAAGCAAAATTTAACTTTTTTCTTTTTAAATTCTTCCTTTTTCACCATTCATAAAAAAATAAACTTCTAAAAATAAAGCCGTTTACGTGTTTTACGTTTTGCGGCAGCCCTAACCATTAACGGATTTTTGTATGAAAATGACAATGAAACCCTTCACAACTTTGCCCACATCTCTGTGTTGCCAATTTAAAAGCCTAAATAACTACTAAATCAATCAGAATGTGGCCTCAAAGGTAAAACTAACTCAATCTTTGCCAGGTCACTTTTTTAACTGTATGGTTTACGTAAAATGGGCAGTAGGTAACGTTGAAAAACTTGTGGCTTCTTTACAAACTTTTTATTTTAGGTATTCTACAAAAACTGACTCTACAACTGAAACTGAATCTACAGTGCCTATTGTGTGTTTAAATGTAAACCTCTTTCACAGAAGTGTTGATAATTTATACTATTCAGTGTAATTGTAAGTCAATGTACTCAGTGCCATTTTTCAAGGCTAAGTTTTGTACATTCGAAGCGAAACAAAATAGTATCACTAATTTTGAAAAAAGAATAAATAACGAATGCGTCATGATAGTGGTCTGTATTATTTTTGAATTGAAAATAGTCAAAAGAGTATTTTCGTATTTTGCTGTCTCTGGTAAATAGGCAAAAATAGTAAGATTTGCGGAAATATTTATCGTATAGTTATTTTCATTGATCATTATATCATCATCATCATCATCAACCGATGTATAGGTCCCACTGCTAGCCACGGGTCTCTTCTCAGGTCGTTATATAATTATACCTACCCCAAATAAACTATACTATTTCAGAGAAATCAAAATTATTATTTTGATTTCAATTATCCGGTATATACATAATAATATTAATTGTAATGAATATTATGTTGTTTTACGGACATTATATTCATTTATTTTTTTATGAAATTATCCGATAATTTGTTATAAATTATTATATTTATTAGTCGCCTTGTATTCATCATAATTTTCGATTCTTAAGCGTGAAACACACAGAGCGCGAGTTTGGGTCGGGTCGGGACCGCGGCGTGTCTAATTCTATGTGTTTATATGGATGTCACACGCCCATGCTCGGTGTGTTGTCGTCCATATAAATTTACATGGCATTAGACCCGCCGTGGTCCCAACCCGACCCGCGCCCGGTCCCTGTGTCTTCCACGCATCGAGTACATAACCAAAAATAGATACGAAACGTCATTCAATTTGTTTGAAAACTATTTTATAATAATAATAATAATTTATTTATTTAAGATCATTGATCCACTTTGTTAGTAACAATCAAAAACTTAGGACTATGTTAGTAAATTACACTTAATAAAATAATTAAAATAGAAACACTTAAAAATAAATAATACAAATTTACAATAGGTACGCGTAATTAGAATTCATGTCACCAGCCCTTCTTGGTGACATGGATTCTGGTCCAGTGGCACAGTATCGGACACGCTACATCCTCCGATATGGTGTTCAGAAGGCTGTTACCGCTGCCACGCATCCTGCTCATGGTCGACGAAATGCGTTTCCGAATTACTGCGTCAAAACCGTCGGTACGCGCTTCCGCAAACATGCCGGACGCACTACAGAACGGGGGCAGCCGCAACAGCATTCTGAAGGTGTTATTATACTGGACCTTCAGGGCATTGAAGGATTTCTGCGTATAATTAATCCAGAGGCCGCAGGTGTACAGTGTCTGGCAGTAGGCCTTAAAAAGAGTTAATTTGACCTCATTCGTACACCGTGCAAACCTGCGAGCTAACATATTGCACCTTACCGTCAATGCCCTGCGCTCCCTATCCAGCTCTAAGTTGTCTGTGAGCGCATCGGTCACCCAGTGACCCAGGTATTTAAACTGCTTCACTTGCTTGAGAGGAGCACCATCTAGTGTAATAGGTGGAACAGTGTTATATGTTTTCGTGCCCGCCTTGAAAACTAGCAGCTCACTTTTCTTAGCATTATACCTGAGTCCATTGGCCACCGCATATTGCTCACAGATTTTCAACAACCTCCTCAAGGCACCGACTGAGGGGCTCAACAGCACCATATCATCAGCATAACTAATATTGTTGATGATACGGCCACCAATCGAGCACCCCACCCTAGCACCGCTGAGCTGCTCAATTAGTCCGTCTATGTACAGGTTGAACAACTTGGGAGACGTCAATCCCCCCTGCCTCACCCCGCTGTGCAACCTGTACACATTCGAAAAACTGTTTCCCCATCTCACGACATTCGACTGGCTTCCGTACCAGTACTTTAACAGCAACAGGTGTTCTGTTGATAGAGTAGTCTCTGAGGCAATTTTCCTCCAGAGTACGTCATAGGAAACCAGGTCGAATGCCCTGGAGAGGTCCAGAAAACAAGCAAATACAGGTGTGCGTCGGTCTGTATAGTAGCGAATGGTGTGCTTGAGGCAGTATATTACAGACTCTGTGGAGAGTCCGGGTTTGAAACCGAACTGAGCGTCATGAAGTTTCATATTATTACATAACGGCTTATCAATCACCGCATCCAATACTTGTGGCTAATGAAATGGGTCTATAGTTTTCTCTGTCCGACACATCTCCAGTCTTGTTCTTGGTAATCGGACCTACTATAGTTTTCATTAAATTTTCAGGCATGTACGAATGTCCAATACACAAATTAAAAAGTAGGGCTAACACTCTCGGGAGATGTACACCTCCGTTCTGTAAATGCTCCACACTGAGACCGTCGTGTCCAGGTGACTTGCCGCGTGTCATATGCCTAATAATTTCCGCGATCTCCTTTACTGTAACGTGCTCGAATGAGTCACCTGAACCGACCTCCGCAGGGGGCACTCCCAGTGAGGGGCCAAGAGGAGATTGCACCTGGAAATGTTTCATGAACAAATCTGCTATTCGACTAGGCTCACTGACACCATTGACGCTCACAGGGATACCCGGTTTGGGGTTCAGTTTGTTTGTGGACTTCCAGAAACGGTCAAAATTCTTTTTAGAGTGTTGAGAAGCTATAATGTCCATTCTAATTTGTTCTTGATTATTTTGACACCATTTTAATTTCATTTTAAACAAACTTCTAGACTTACACATATTTACAAAACATAACCCGTGTCTAGGTCGCCCTTGTAAACACCATAAACGAAAATGTAATTGAGCCTCACAGTGAGCGGCCTTAACGTGTTTATTTCAGCCAACAATACATCTACGCTTTCGGTTACTAACATTTTGCCAAATCAGTACGGTGACAACTGCGCTCCGATTGGCCAGCCCGAATTCGAAACAATTGACGGTTGTCGTCAATTGTTTCACTTCAAATCGCCCAGTTTAACTTGAGCTTTGCTATAATGAACAGAGATTGAAAAATTACATGAAATTACACGATGAAATGTGATTCCGTTTGTTTTGTAATTATGTTTTGCTGTTTTTCCCGCACCATCGAATGGAACAGTCCCCCCTAGTTAGATATATTATCTTTATTACAATAAATACAGAATATTTTTTGGAATATACAGCCTGTCTATGTTTCAGTGCAAACGAAAGTTGATATTTATAAGAGCTGTATCGCTAATGTGTTACCAGGAACATATAGCCCTTATTTCGTCTCTATTTGTGGTTATATACTCGATGACGCTGCACTATTTCAGCTTTCTAATTTGTGATTTCAGTGCAAACGAGAGTTGATATTTAAAAGTCATATAAGGCACATTTCCCTGATGAGTTGCCAGGGATCGATAGCCCTTATTTCGTCTCTATTTCTAGTTATATACTCGATGGTTTCACGCTTTAGGAAAAATCATGACAAGATGATTTTGCATGAACAAAGAATTTAATAATGTACACAATATTTTGTTCACTACCGCCACCCAGCACAAATAACGTAGAAAATTTATAAAAACTTATACAAATTCTTTATTAGTTATCTATAAGTTTCGAGCGCGAAGTGAGCGGTTGGTAGATGTTTGACTGGTCGATGTTCAGGAAGGCACGGTGCACCACTGCCAGTTCCAGGCCATAGAAAACTGAAAACAATAATATGGAAATTTAATGGCATATGTTCACCATTGTTCCTGTACCCTGCGTCATTGGATTTCGTATCTAAGCGATGTACGCAATACTACAGGTGACGATGAGCAAAATTGCTTTTCTATACAAAAACTTGAAAAGCAAAAATAATAGGAAAGGTTTTTAAGCATAAAATATCGACGCCGGAAAGTGATCTTGTCGTATCTCGCTGTCGCTTTCCGGCGTCGATATATACTTTTATTTTAATAATAATAACGAATGGACTCATAGCCCCGCACTAGAGAAACCCTGTGCCGCTAGAGCCATGGACACACACATAGACAACCACAAATTACACCGAAACTCACGAGACAAATAAATGTAGGTCATACAAATATTTCTCCCAGCCCGGGAATCGATCCCGGGACCTCTATATGGCAGACCAAGGTAACCATTCGGCCACGGAGGCAGTTAAGTTTTTTTTTCAGTTAAGCAGTTAAGATTATTTGCCAAAATAAAATACTAGAAATTATTATAATAATAAATAACGCACACACTCAACATAACCCCGCACTAGGGAAACCCTGTGTCGCGGGTGCCATGGACACACACATAGACAACCACAAATTACACCCAAACTCACGAGAGAAATAATTGTAGGCCATACTACTATTTCTCCCGGCCCAAGAATCGAACCTGGGACCTCTGCGTGGCATGGTAACCGTTTGGCCACGGAGGCAGTTAAAGTAAGTAAAGTAAAGTAAGTTAAGTATTATACATATACTAGTTTTGAGCAAAATATAAATATTCAAGCAACTAAAGATTGATAATTAATAATTTGCCATTAAAAGATAGCAATTATACTGAATTACAATTAGTGAAACTCACAATCAACAAGAAATGATTCATATGTCTACAATTAACACATTAAAACGATTCATCACGATTAAAAATTGACAATTGTAATTCTTTTCACTCTCTCACTATCACAGACTCACTCTTTTCTCCTATTGTAATTTAAAGATAAGACGAAAAAAAATATTTTGCGAACTATACTACATATTGATCGTATTGTAAAGAAAGCCTCAAAAAGTCTTATTTTCGTTATTGGAAAAGTCAAGGAATTCCGCAAACCCGCTACTAAAATGACTATGTAATTATATTGCTTCATTACAATCCATTTTAAACAAAAACTAAACAAACAAGTCACTGACCCGACCATAGACGGGGTTTAGTGCTGGCCAATTTTATTGCCAACCACAAATCAATTAATTAATTGAATTAATCGATTTGTTCAATTGAATCATACTAGCGGTTTCCACTACATAACCAATAAAAGCATATTTAAAATTTGATTTTAAATCCTGCTTCAAACCCTTATCGTTCGATTGCTATTGAAATTTTCGAATTACTAATCGATTACAAAAACTTTAATTGAATGAACTGAATGTTTTTTTTCCGTTTAGTACTATGCAACCTTAGACTATTTTAAAAAATAACCTCACTTTTTGACTACCGTTTTTCAAATACGATTTTACGATGTTATTCAAATTAATATTGTTGAAAAAAGTGATCAGATATACATATAGGTAAAGTCTTCGAAATATACGTTACGATTCATATTCGATTTATTAAATGATTACTTTGAAAATTCAACCAAGTCCTTTTATTTACATTTTGTTTCAAATGGAATGGAACAGACTATATACCTAATACTGCTTAGTGCGAAGCATAGAAGCTCGAACATAGGTCAATTTTGGCGTCCTCACTACGCAAACCACGTGTTAAGATTCGAAATTTATGTGGCATCTGTCGTATTCAGAGGGCGTAGCGTAACGAATACGTTCCCGCGATAGCAAGTTATAGAAGTTTAAAATGATTAATGTCAACAAACTTAGTTAGACATTAGATAAATGAGTTTTCTATACAAAATTATTCGTTACAAACATTGACTTACAAATAAATGGACGACGGGTCTAATACAAAAACCACGAAAAAAATGTCCCAAGTCAACCTATTTCAACGTAGTGACATGTCAAGGAATATGAAAAAGCTAAAACGTTGAATTGAAATTGTAATGTCATCGCGGTACTGTCTAATTTTGCTTGCTTCGCTGTCAGTCGAACAAACGAAGTACGTAAGAAACTGTATACGATTTTAACGCCCTATAAGTTCGGACACTTTTTAGCGCGGACCCGACGTCCATATAATTGTAAGTCAATGGTTATAAAATAGATTTGCCTTCAGTCCTTAGCTAATGCAAACTTAAAGCGCCGCATTTGTATCACCCACAGAATAAGATCTCTTTTCGACGCCAATTCGCAGGACAGTATATAGCCAGTCGCAATTCGCCAGTTCCTCGTCTGTGCAGCCTTTATAAATCATCTTAGCATCAATAATAATAATCTAGATATATTTTATGATTCCTTGTTTAAATTCCATAGGTCTATTTTTTTTATGTAGCGTTATAACGGCTTTGGCATAACGACGAATAGACTGTATTCTTCATTTTCTTTTCTTCATTTTGGTTTAACTTTTTAAATACGTTTCAATCTTCATATGACATCAGGAGTGGAAATGATGTAACTGTAAATACCTTCATAACTTTTTATTTCGGTTTCTAGTAGAGATGGCAGGAGGCGGGGAATGTCTTCCTCTTCATAAATCGTCATTATGCCATCTATAGTAGCAATAACCTTTGCACGTTGAATGCAGGACAATGCAGAATGAGATGATCCAAATTTGCAGCAGCTGAATGACAGTATTCGCATTGATCGGAGGAACTACACTTCTATCACGTCATGGTCACCTATTTTTCTTTTTTTAACTTTAGACACTGAATTAATATAGTAGTTATTACATTTAGGTTTATTTATTTTATTTCTTTTTGTTTATTATTGAAATATCGTACGCCGTATTCATAAATACGAGTCGAGTACATATTCATAACCGACTACTTAATTGTGTCCACTAATTTACTTGCATGCTGTGTTCGTCTGTAAAAAAAATGTGCAAACCACTAATAATGTTATTGTAACAATACTGTTGATGAACCTTAGTAATTAAATAAATAAAAATACAAGAATTGAACACAAAGAAAAGTTTCTTTGATTCGGCTGGATTCAAATCGGCGCCTTCAGCACACCGTGCCTGACACGCTCTCCCAACCAGCAGACCTTACGAACTTAACAACTTTTTTTGCCACAGCGCGCCACCAGATGCTAAACATCGTGCACGCGACAATCCACGTCGTGACTCGCAACCTTTTTTTCCATCCTCTGAGCTCGCAACTCTTGCCCGCTTTTAGTTGACTCTTTTTAACGGTACTTTAAGTTCTAATTACTTAGGATTATTAAAAAAATAGTCGCAATTAAATAATTGCGAATTGCAATTAACGTAGACCAATTCGTATAAATCAACTGTAACATTGTATTATAATTGTTTTCCTGCAATTGAAATGCTTATTTGCAATTATTATGTGTTACTCTCATAACTTATACGCTTCTAATTGTAAATTTATTTAATAACATCCAACATTGTTGTATATACACTGTATAATTGTCTAACTGTCTAATTGGGCGGCCAAATAAACAAAAATGTATATAATAATAATAATAATAATAATAATAGATATAATAATAATCATAATAACGCACACACTCACCACAGACCCACACTAGGGAAACCCTGTGTCGCGGATGTCATGAACACACACATAGACAACCACAAATTACACCATACATATAGGAAATATCTATGAATTACACCCAAACTCACGAGAAAAATAAATGTAGGCCGTTCAAATATTTCTCCCGACCCGGGAATCGAACCTGGGACCTCTGCGTGGCAGTTCGGCATGGCAACCGTTCGGCCACAGAATATGGTATGTAGTACCTACTTTACAAGTTTGTTACTAACTAGATATGGATTATGAATCTGTAAAAGAGCGTAAACAAAAACACTGGGGGGAGTTACACGTAACAAGAATTCAAGTAATTACTTCGCACGTTGCCTCTGTCGTCAGGGTCTTTGGAGGCAGTTGTATCGATGTATAAACTGCCTCTTTTTATGCTATTCTTAACCAACTTCAAAGAAGGAGGAGGATCTCCATTCGAATGTTTTTTTTGTGCGTGTTACGCGATTAATCCGAAATTTGTGAACCGAATTCGACTCTTTAGTAGCAGTAGAGCTCCTTGGGAAAGAATTTGTCCAGAGAAATACTGCCACCTTACTTATTTGTGCCGCCAAGCAGTAATGTCTTCCGGTGTGTTCCGGTTTTGAAGGGTAAGGGTGCTGGTGAAATTACTGGCACATGGGACATGTCAACATATGTCTCAGGGTGACGAGCGCAGTGGCAGTGCCCCTCAGATCTTTGCGATTTAAAGCTTTGAGTGACACTGCGTGTCAGGCGCACGAATTATTCGTCCCTTCACTTGATATTATTAAAAAAAACTTTTATTGTTGGAAAGGGTACCTACGTTGTGATTCCATTGAAATTTGAGGAAAAATTTCAACCTATAAATGTATCAAAATATCGGATGAATGCGGTTTATTGAATTTCACCCATTGTCCGTAACCGAGTTCAATAAAAATTGGTACATAGACGTAATTTCAAAGAAAATAAAATGTTATGGTGACCTGGAGCTGACCGGATGATGGAAATGACAGACAAATGAGGGGAACTCCTCAACAGCTACCTTGTGTTTGGGTTCATATGAAGTGATTGTTGATGAATAATAGAGCGGTAAAGTTGTGACTCTATTTGTTTATAGCCTTTCGTTAATGTATGCAAAATCTATTTGTTAGCGCAATATTTTGTGTTTTTTATGTTCGTAAAAGTGAGTATGAAGCGTTGTATTATTATAAAATTTGACAATTGAAATGTGGCAGAATTTGCTTACATTTAGCATATTTTTTGATACTTTCCTTTTTTTTATGTAAGATTGCACTTACATAATACACAGCGTTTATTCATTGACTAAATTAAAAAATACCTGAAATTGCATCTACAAGACTTTTGTATTGATTACGCCATGTAGGTAATTCGATTTTTGTCTCTGGGTTATCAATATTGTAGTCTAATTATTAGTTCTAACATAAAACATGAAAAAACTTTATTTCATTGCAAAAACTTTGCATTTATGGTCAAGGAGTCTGGACAAAGAAAAATTGATAAAGATGTTTGGAAAAACACAATATGTGTCTAGATCCACAAATATGATTCAAAATGTATTCTACAGCATTCCAGTTTATTTGAAAACAGCAATCCCTAGAGTTTCTTGCTCGTTCTTGTCAGGGAAGTCGGCACAGTGCACGAGCAGTAGCTTTAAAAAATGACGTTTTGAAGTGTAAAAATTTTATATATGGAATAAATGATTATTTGTGTTTGACTTTCAAATTTGCGTACCAAAGAAACGGTCGGAACAAATATTCGGGTTTCTCTTCATTTAAAGACATTAATTAAAACTCTTCTGATTAAATAAAACTGCAGACACACACTAAAACAATATATAACTGCCTGTTTGTCTATGTGTGGGTCCATGGCACCCGCGACACAGGGTTTCCCTAGTGCGGGGGCTATATTGAGTGTGTGCGTTATTAATAAAAAGTCTTCCCGAAAAACAACTGTATTCCTTAGCTGTATTACCGTATTAATTAGAGCCAGACTCTTGACAGTTCTCGTGTGTAGTAGCAGAACATGTTTTATTAATACCTAGAATGAATGTTGTTATAATCATATTCCTTATATGTAAATGAATGAAACATTAAAATAACTTCATTCCTATATTGCATATATAACAAAATAAACAGTATTTATTTTACCGATTTCATTGAAGAAGAACATAAAAACGTATCTATATAATTTTCTTACGAGACTTTAAAAAGATACTGAAATCAAACAAAAAAATACAGTCGAATTGAGAACCTCCTCCTTTATTGAAGTCGGTTAATTATAGATACACATGTATGTATACTCATTTTTAAAACCTTTTTTATTGCCAAAGAATGTAGACACATTATCAGTTTATCATTACCAGTGTATCAACTGTTCGTCAGAATAAATGACAGAATTGAAAAAATGATGATTCCCATTGTATGCAAATACAAAATCCAAACAATAATAATGTGTTAGACGTATAACAAATTGCGTCATAGATCAATAAACAGCTCATATAATAGATACAAATTTCTAATTTTACTTGTTAAATAATTTGAAATAACTTTTTTCTGTTGACGCCAAATTTAGCTTGTCCGCTTTCGCTGTGTTCGTTGCCCGGCCTCCTCATGGAAGTTTCGTCAAAACGAATATACATATACGATCCTAAACACAAGGCAGCTGCTATGCACTGTTGAGGAGTTTCTCTCTCTGTCTGCCATTTTCATCGTCACATCAGTTTTAGGTCACCATAACTTTTTGGATTTACATATATGTGCCGAGTTTTATTAAAATCTGTTAACGAAAAGTGGACGAAATTCACTAAACCGTATTCATCCTCTAATTTGCCACCCTTCGAGGGAGAATCTTTTCTTCAAATTTGAATGGGACTACAGCTGAAGTATCCCCTTTCCAACTAAAAAGGAATCGTCGCAATCGGTTCACAAATAGCACTTAACAACTAACACAGTATTATCTCAAAAATTGCGTTATACTATATTTTATCTCAAAATTACGTTATATCAATAATTTATCTCCAAAATTTTGCTATATTGGTATGTCATTCATATACGATTTAATTTCAAAGTGGCAAGACAACACTGTCGCTTTGAAAACTAAACAGGTAATATTAATATAACTTAAAGCCATTGTCTGTGCGAAATGTCGGAGTAATCGCGTAACATTCGGTACTCCTCTTTCTTTAAAGTCGGTTAAAAATAGCGTAAAAAGAGGCAGTTCCAGATGTTATATCCATGCAACTATCCAGAGACCCTGACAAGGAAGGCAACGTGCGATAGTAATTGGTTGAATTCTTGTTATGTGTAACTCCAAGTAATCCATGAGTCTTTGTTTTACGCTCTTTTTTTTTCAAATTTTAACGGGACTGCTAGCGAGGTACCCCCCTTTCCAACAAAAAAAATAATCATCGTAATCGGTTCACAATGTCGGAGTAAACGTAGCATGCACCTCCTTCTTTTTTGGAATGGGTTAACAATTGAAACTTACTGTATAAAAAGATGAATATAATGTGTGGCACGATTCTGATGAAATCGCTGTCTAGAAAGGCGGTGATCACACACAAAGCTGTGAATGCTATGCACAGAGCCAGTGTCATCACCCCATGAAGGAAGAAAGCCTTAGCGCCGCACGATCTTTGCTGAGAAATAAAAAAATACAACTTAATTTAACCGACTTTTTTCTATAATGTCGATACGTACATCTCCGAATGCCGAGATATGTGTACAATACGCCGTACCCGTCACAGAGTAGTGAAGTTTTGATCACCCATAGAAATCTCCTTTAATAATTATTGTAACTTTAAAAATTAATACATTACGAGAACAAATACAGTAACGAAATTTAAAGAAGCGACCAATGAAATTACTTCTCACAGTGAAACAACATGCCAATAGCCCCCTTCACACAGTCACTCTATCGCGCGTGATCACGCACAAGATCGCGCACGATTACCTGTTTGAAATTTATTAAGCTAGCGTTCTTTCGCGCGCGATTGCTCGTGTTTGTTTTTGTGACAACGGATAGAGCGTCCGTGTAAATGTTAGGGCTCTTACACATAAACACGATACGACGTCGTGGAAATCGACGACGAGCAACGTAAAAATTCACGACACGACATCGCAACGTGTCACGACGCACGGTACGACGTAGTATCGTAGAAACTCACGGTGCAAAGATGACAGATGAAGTTGATTATTTAATAGCCCTAGTCGAGGAGCGTCCTGTATTGTGGGACAAAACATCAGAAGAATAAAAATTTATCTTTAAATATTGAATAACAAATTAATGCGGCACTGGGGAGCGCGCCGTGTTTCTACGATACGACACGTCGTGCCGTGCGTCGTGCCATGTTGCGATGTCGTGTCGTGAATTTTTACTTTGCTCGTCGTAGATTTTCATGGTACGACGTGACACCGTGTTTATGTGTAAGAACCCAATAGCACGGGATTGGCCGCGTGAAACTGGCGCGTGTTAGAGTGCCTGATTGCGCGCGTGACTGATGAGCGCAATCTCGCGATCTTTCCCTTTTCCTTCCAACGTGTTTACACGCGCGCTCAATCACGCATGATAGGTGTATCACGCGCTTTAGAGTGTCTGTGTAAAGCCCGCGAAATTCGAACAGACCAATCAGGAATAAAACCTTGCGAGAAGTCAGTTTGACTTGGCATACTCCGTAATAATGAGCGCAAATAGGCAATTATTTAAATGTATAACCTAAAGGTTACTAACTTGTCACTTGATATGCTGTACTTTTTAAAGTTTGGACTTTGTAGCGTACTTATCGCTCTTGACCTTAACATACACTCACCCTTCGAACACCAAGTACCAGGAGAGCAGAGAACATGAGAGTCAAAACAGAAGCGAACAACAATATTCGACGTCCGACCACTTCCGCAAATTCCGGAGTAAAGAATTGATCATTTGGCGAAAATATTGGAGATATTATGTTCACATTGTACTTGCTGGCTGTTATGCAGCCCAGGATTGATAGAGATGCTAATATCTGAAAACAAAAACGCTTCATTTATTTTACTGAATATTTTACTACTATGATATGCAATGACAATACTCCACTAGTTTATTTTTATTTTTAATACCACGGAAGAAAAAACGCCTCGATTACCGATCAATACCGCTGTCGCCAAAACTAAGACATTCATAATTTGAGACACTATGAAATATTGATCGTAGTTTAAAATTTAAAAAGATTTAACAGAATCTGGACTGTTAATATAATTTAAACTTTACACTGTTGGCATACGTACGTTGAAAGTTCAATATTATCAATACCTTTGTTGCAAGTAACGACGCTTTGATTTGTTTCAATCAATGTCCTAGCATGTAGCGGTTAATATTTGAACGACGAATAATAATAATAATAGTCATGTTTATTCATAAATCACAAATAATGAATTGATTACAATATTTTTTTATAAATCGAAGTTGTACAATCACAAGATTATCTGCCTTCTAAACTATCCTGTATCAATGAGGTAGAAATTCGAGATGTTTACTAAGTTCCTCAAAAAAGAAGCGACCATATTACAGCGATATAAGGTTTATTGTCGTTTCTTGTAACAAAATTGCCTCCATGGCCGAACGGTTACCATGCCGGACTGCCACGCAGAGGTCCCAGGTTCGATTCCCGGGCCGGGAGAAATAGTTGTAGGGCCTATAATTATTTCTCTCGTGAGTTTGGGTGTAATTTGTGGTTGTCTATGTGTGTGTCCATGGCACCCGCGACACAGGGTTTCCCTAGTGCGGGGCTATGTTGAGTGTGTGCGTTATAATTATTAAAAAAAATTTTATTACGATTAACAGAAAATTGAAATTTTATGTGATGAGGTGCGATGGCGCGCAGCACTAGTGTGTTTCGGTGTGCCTGCGTGCGCGCCGGGCTCTATCGGCACATGGCGTCGCCACACCCCGGACACTCCATACAACGGCCGAAAATTATTTACCTACTTAACTACATACGGAAAGGCTCTATCTGCACACGCGCAAATGTGTCCGTGAAATGGCAGGATTACGAATCACTTGCCCGTACTATTTATTACGTTACGAGGTCAGAGCGGCATTCTGTTATCTATAATTCTATAATAGAATCCTAATTAATTACGTATTTATAAATCGATATATAATATTATATTTTTTATTAATTAACTAACTGGAATAATATTGAAGACATTAAAAACTCTTAAAATGTTATATTTTGAACAGGTACCTTTAAATAAAGTAACCAAAGTATTTGAAATTGCGTGTTCAAGTTTATAATTACCCAGTTATTAATTAAATATATTCACTATGTAATATTTTATCGGCAATATAATTTGAAAATTCGAGAACCCTTTTCTAGCTCACGAAGTTATGGCGCCTTATTATATTGATATAATAAATCTGTATTATATATTACTCTACACTAAGGAAAACAATAACTGAATGAGTCTCAGACATAAGTTTTTTTACTTACTTAAAGAAACCCTCTCTTTATCCCTTTTAGATGATTATAAACAGCCGTACACAGCACAATTCACGATCGTTATAAATAGTAACGTAAAATTATGTTGTATATTAAGGCACTAACTTCGTAATGAAAAAAAGAAAGCTATATTCAAATATCAAAGCCGTATTCGAGCGAAAACGGCTCGCCGACAGCCTTGTTCTCGTTCAGTCAATGTGACCGTCAATGAGCGGTGCGCGGTGCGGTATCTAAAGTTAGGAAGGGGCGGAGAGTGTCCGTTCTCATTACTTATTTGTTCTCTGGCGTCGCGTGCGCCTATACTCATCTTGCACAATTGCTGCGGTAAATAAGCAGAGTCAATTTTACCGCTAATAATATTTACAAAAAATTTGGCCAGCGCGAGAAACCTTCGTAACTGAGAGAGTCGAAGCCAAGATGCCCTTGCAAAAAAAACTTGGGATACACGCATGGCTAATAACCATAGCGCCTTTTGTATAAGTGGCGGAGAAACTGTTTCTGCACCTGCTCCAACATGAGGTTACATTTCTTCTCACAAGGAACCCTAACCACTGATCATCGGTCACATCGTCGCTTAGGCCCCGGTGAGATTGTGATTTAAAAAATCTTTTGCGTCACATAGTAACCACACAGTAGTACATGAGTAGTACCACAGTCTAACCAATTCCTGTAGTACCACACAGTACGGCTTCTAAAGCCGAAAACAGCATTCAAATATCTATAACAGATATATAGAAGAATTTCGTCGACTCGGTTAACTCGACCTTTAACTCAGTTGGAATAGCGATGTTCGCAAGTTTGAGTCCTCTTGGGGTCGATAGTATTTTTATTTGTCTTTCTGCATTTAATAATTAACAACACAGTAAATTTGAATTTGCTTTTGTTATTGTTAAAAAAAACCTATAAGTTAAATTGCCCGATCTCAAACCAGGGAGTTCACTCTGGGGCACTCCTCAATGTACACCGTTAGGCCACCAAAGTCGTCAATGTTACGTTACGTAGCACAAATTAATTAAATATGCTAAACAATACTTACAAAGTTCAGAATACCGATGTACAAAGACAGTTTCTCCGCATTTGCAGTGAATGGACATCGGCAATGCTTCCTGGAAGACGTTCTGAATTAAAATGTATGAAATTCAGTTACATTATTTTTTGCAATGTTTAGCGTAAAAATTAATATGTTTGTGAAAACTTTGAAGTTAAATTCGTATTGTTGGGCACAAGTAAGAAACTATTGTTTTGGAATTTAGTAAATTTTAAAAGAAGTACACTTACCATTGATCTACCAACGCACCTTCAGATAATATTGTGAAATATTAAATAATATTTCAAGATAATATTCTAGAATATTTAAATAATGAAAATTGCCACCGAAATTAGGTAAAGAAAATTACTCTTGTATACTTAGGTATACTTCTTTCATTACTTACTAACTAAACTAAATTCATTTACAAACAACAGTTTGTTACTTGTGCCCGTCAAGAAGAACTTAACTCCACATTTGTTTTTCACTTGTTTTTCACATACTAATACAATATTTTTACGCTAAACATTGCAGTAGGGTACCTACACCAAAGTATAACGTTTAATTTTTAATTTACTGTTATTTAACGTTTCATTTACGGTGTCACCCACCAAATCTACCTAGTACATTTTTATAGGTAATTTAGTAACCGATATGAAAAAACTTACTCCATTTTACTGTCGTCAAATCGCAGTTAACTGTTTAACAGTGACTTGTTAGCAAGTATCTAATTGAAAGCAATATTCAAAATAAGCATTAGCAGCAACAAGCGAAAGTAGGTAATTACAGTGTGAACATATCAAAATTAGTAACAAGAGCAAGGTATTTTATGTTTCAAAACTTTACGAGGAGTATAACCTTGACATTTTGGACATTGGATTGTTCCGAGTTGTTCTGTACATAAGGCAATATTCTTCAATTTAAATGTTAAATGTCTAGTGTAACGTGCTCTTACTGTACCGACTCTTTTAATTTCATTATTTATTTATTAAGTCCGTGGAAGCTAGGGAGACAGCTAGTGTGGGACGCAACCAGTATGGACACTGAAGCCCCCTCCCATGCCCTTGCAAGCGCGAGTGGCGCAGGATCTGTCATTAGAGCGGCCGAGAATCGCAGATCAGATGGCTCAAATACGCCAACCTTGCTCAGTGCTACAGTTTTGGTCCTTTTGCGGTTGAAAACCTGAGGCCCTAGGGCCACAGGCGGTGTCTCCTAAGACAGGCCCTGTCAAGCCTAAAAGGACCATCAGCCCCAGAGTTAAGCTTATGTGTAATTGACGAATAAAACATATTTATTTTTAATATTTATTGAATATAGTCAGTCACGAGCACATCTATCTTTCTGGATTTTGGATTTGGATTTATCGTAAGAGGTATGTACCTAGTTGAAATTGAGTCTTGAGTGTCAAATTCTGCGTTAGACAGAAGTCCTTGCTTTATAATTTAAGTTGCTTTACTGGTATTAAAACTTGTAATTGAGACGTACTTTGACGACGTCAAACAAAATTGGTCAAGTTCAGAAATTGACATTTCAGAAGGGTTCCCTGGACTTAGCATGTGGAGATTTTTTCGTGTACATTTTTAGCCGGGACGTAATCGTAATCACATCTATACTTTTTCTTCCATCCGCCATTAATTACCCTTGCTATATGTATTTTACAATTATCTTTTTAAAAGAGCCTATTTTAAATAGGTATGTGACTCAAATGTATGCTGTGAAACAGCGTAATAAAAGCAAATACAATAATGTAATTGTCCACTGCTCGGGATTCCTCCAATTAAGAGTTCATACAGGGTAGTACTCCCACCTTACCTATTTCTGTCGCTTTCTGTTTTAAAGGGTTAGGGTGCGGTGAAATTACAGGCACATGGGACTTGTCAACTTATGGCTCAACGTGGCGGGCACAGTGGCAGATCTTTACGATTAGGCGTATCGCTTACTAACAGGCGCACGACTTGCTCGTCCTGTCACTTCGTATTATAAAAAAATATATTATCTCATCTTAAATATCAAATGACCTGCCTCCTCCTGCAAGGGTGCGGTATTTCAATTGTTATCGACATTTAGGATATGTAATTGTAATGAAAACTTTAATTAGTTAGCAGTACGAAAACGTAACGTTATTCATCATCACAGTTATTATTCGCAAGTCACACTCAAGTAAAATCTAGTCTAAAACACTCTCTTTCATTTCGCTCGGAAATTACATCTAAACCAACAGAAAAAGATTGAATCGTGACATGAAAATGTTTTTAAAGAACAAGCTAACCGGGGAAGTAGATTTCCTTTAATGTGTGACTTATTATGTGTTGTTGTTGTTGAATATTTCAGACTTTTAGTCAACTGTTTTAAAGCGTTTTTTTTTAAAGGCTAATTTAATTGAGATGGTTCTTAACTATATTTAATGCGTCGATTCAGCTGTTTAAAGATTATCAGTTCTTTTCCCAGTGAAAGGATGTGTCATAAGATGAATATTATAATTACTATTGTGTTTGGATATTAATCTGTAAGCAATATGTAATATAATATATAAATAAATAAATAAACGATCCGATCGACTTGAAATTTGGCATGTTATATAAAACCGATGACATTACAACACTATAGCAACCTTGATCTTTATTATTATAACACTAAGTGACGGGACGATTATTAGAGTACAAGTGGTTAGTTAGCGTCACACGCGTGCCAACAGCAGACCTAGTTACGCCTAATTGAGCTCAATCCGCCGTTTTCGCATCGTCATGTCACTTAATATTATAATAATAAGAAAAAAACCATCATATAATTATAATATATGTGCAAAGTTAGATAATTTATTCTTAAATAATTCGTATTTATATTTTTAATTTAGCCAGTTTTCGGTATTTCGGTGTAACTAATTAGCACATTATATTTTAGACTATATCTCAGGTGTATCGTATATTTTCGGTAAGACCGTTATTTAGTAGTAAATACCTAAAACATTTGTTCTAGCAAAACAGTTTCACCCGCTTCTTCTCTTCCACTCTTACAACAGAGAACTTGCAAAATTTTAGTTTTCAACTTAAGCCCTATAGTTATTAAATTCACATTTATTCCAAAGCTTACAAATTGCCCAGCGAGCGGTTTAACGACACAGGCCACCCGTTACCTCGTTAGTCACCATCGGGATTTTGTGAACGTTGCATCTTTGTCAAACTGTCTCTTCCTTTTTTTTTAATCATATTGAATTGCTGGACGGCGTGTGCGGGGGCCCCCCACACCTCACCTCCTCAAATCTGAGCTTGCGTTGAAATACCTCGCCTTAAATGGCTTTTTCGCCGTCACCGTTCACATTTTCTTTCTTTAGTTCTATCTTTGTATGAATAATAATAACAAGCTAGTGGCGTATTGTCACAAAAAATGTATGAAAATCATAGTATTCAATAACAAAATATTTTTGTTGTTATAATTTATAAGTGCCTTACGCGTGTATTGTTATTGATTTTTTTTATCGTTTGCATGTTTACAAAGTAATTTAGATTTTTTTATGTTACTCTTAGGTATTGTTTGACAAATCGTTTTATGATAATGGTACTGAGTCCTATTAATTTACATTGAAAGTACATGCGTTTCAATTAATTTGAATTCTAATTTAAATATTGCTAATTAGAAACAGAAGTTTCCACGGAACGTTTCCACAGTTCCATGAGACTTTTCAACTTATGTATCAGGGTGACAGGCGCAATGGCAGTGCCCTTTCAGCGGCACTGCAACTGTTATGGACAGGCGTGACGCTTACCACCAGGCGTACGATTTGTTCGTCCCGTCACATGCTATCATAAAAAATAAATAAATACATTGACTTACAAATAAATGGACGACGGGTCTAATACAAAAACCACGAAAAAAATGTCCCAAGTCAACCTATTCGAAATTTAAATTGTAATGTCATCGCAGTATCGCGCTGTCAGTAGAACAAATTTAGACTAAAGCGGAGTATGACGCTCTGTATACGATTTTAGCGCCTTACAAGTGCGGACACTTTTTAGCGCGGACCCGACGTCCATATAATTGTAAGTCGAATGAATAAATAATAACGCACACACTCAACATAGCCCCGCACTAGGGAAACCCTGTGTCGCGGGTGCCATGGACACGCACATAGACAACCACAAATTACATCCAAACTCACGAGAGAAATAAATGTAGGCCATACAAACATTTCTCCCGGCCCGGGAATCGAACCTGGGACCTCTGCGTGGCAGTCCGGCATTTTAACCGTTCGGCCACGGAGGCAGTAAAATATAACATTAGTAGAAACGATAGGTACTGATATAACAAACAATTAATTATACAATTTTACCAGTAAATCATACAAAGAGAATAACATAATGAATTAATAAATTAATTATACCTAAGTCAAATCTAATCTCCGTAACGACTCTATCAGATAAAAGTGTGGGATTTTTCATTGTCATCATATTCCCACTCACGTGTATATTTTTCTGTCGTCCAATCATACTTCAGCCAACCAATGATATTAACTCTCGATCACGTGTCTATTATTGCCCCCGACTAATCACGCGTCAGCGCGGCGACAACAATGTCTAATATACAATCGATATTGTGCGTAAACGTACATACATGCTATGCTATTGGCGTTCATATGACTTTCAGTCTACGTGCATTCAAAAAAATATCGAGACTCGATGAGGTCTTGAAAATTACGGCACAAACGAGTTTTCCGGACGTTTTGAGGGAGTGTTTCTTAACTCGCTCGCTACCTATGATGTTTGGACGTCGTTAATTCGAGCTTAGACTGTGATGGGGCCGCCTGACTAACAACTGAGGCCACGACCCTTACAACGACAAGCGAGCACGCAAGTTTTTTCACCTGCTGCCGAGTGCCGCGCCGACACGGTGCCGCCGGGGCGGCCAACGTACCCGATATGGAGCTGTTTGCTGACGGCGAAGAAAGCGTCATCAAATTGTACGAGGACGACACAAGGTATTAATTGATCTGTATTTTATACCGAACAACTGTAAGGTCTTCGGCGTCCCAATTTTGAACCCAGAACTTAAAGCTGTCCTCACAGAACAAAAAAAAAACAAAAGAGACATAAGGCCATTGAAACTCCCTCGTGGCTTATCTTCAAAAGAGGACACAAATTTATTGCTTCTACTCATGGACACAGGGTGCAAGGTGCATGCCGTTGCATGGTGAGTGCTAACACAGTGATACGTTAACTAGGCGTAATTTCATTATTTCTTCCATCAAAAAAGAGATGAAGGAATCCGTTCAAAATGCTAAAGTTGCTATTCTATTCGTTCATACATTACCGGACGCCCTAAAGGCTGTTAAGGCTGTTCACAAGTCAGGTTCAGAAGTAAAAGTAAACCCTACTATTAAACTTAGCCTTGCTAAGAAATTTCCATCGGGTACATCAAAGACCTGGCGGATCAACCCGCCACGCAAACAAGCGATGGCGGCGAAGGAGACAAAGGAGATCATGACGACGCTGCCTGCATCGACGAGGGATCAGCGCGCCGAGGTCGTCGCAGACTCAGCAGTTCACTCGCAGTAGTCGATAACTTCTCTGGTAAAATAACCGGCGAGCTTACTAATTTTGTTAATTAATGGTCACTTATTATTCGATACCGTGTATTGTTATCGTACATACAAGGTTATAAATTCACTTTTGTCGGCCACTAATCCAGACGTGCCAGCACCTAGGAATTATTCTAATTGGGATAGACCTCACTTATAAATATTTAATAAATAGATAAAGTCAATAAACATTTAATATTCATTGGCGCGATCTCAAAGTTCTTTACTCATGTGCCCAAAGCGTCAACTAGCTAGTTAGTAACTAGCATATATTTTAAGCGTGGAAACCGAATGGTAGAATGAGATTCATTCGAAACTAAAAATATTAAATAAATTTAAAAACACAACATTTTAAATTAAAGGATTTCGGTACAGCCTTGAAATTAATTTCTAGCTACTGTTTTTATAGCTAAGATCGATCTTCAAGATGTATATTTTTAGTAAAAATTCATGATATATTCTGGAAATATTTACCTTTTCAGTGAAGTCAAAAGATTTGTGAAATTAAAATATTACCATTCGATCTCAGCACAGCACCTTATGTTTTCACCAAAATAATATAGACCATTGGCAAAATTTATACGCTCCGCAGGGCTAATGATTGTCTGCGTTAGGATATACCTCTTGCTCTTGAGGATGCTAATCTCTTATTATGAAGCCTTCGTATAATTATGATAGAAGTTCACGTACAGGTAAATTCGTTTATTAATAATATGTTCCTTGGTTTCAAGGCTGTTTTCATAATTTGATTATATTTTTGAGATATCATCCACGGTTGGAATAGTGACTACACTTGGACGGTTGTCAGAATGTCAACAACTAATAAGTTATACTCAAAATACATGTATAATAATAAAACACGTAAAACAAATATATAATTTTTAATAAAAATAAACTAGGTAAAATAGATATAATACGTTATATATTATTATTGTTACAATAATTTATTGTTTATATATATACATGTAGAGATATATTAGTGTGTATGTGCCGCTGTGGTCAGGCTCTTATCTTCTCCTCTCTCTATTGTGTTTCCTGCTTGTAATAAGCGCTATGTAACACGGGCGAAATTAATGATAATTCTGTGCACTGTCTTCTTTTTAACCGACTTAAAAAAGAGGAGGTTCTCAATTCGTCTGTATGTTTTTTTATGTACATTACACGATAACTCCTTATTCGTACTTCTTATTAACCATTTTTGATGATTCTTTTTTGTTGGAAAGAGGGCACCTCAGTAGTGGTCCTATTTAAATTTGAAGAAAATATTCCACCTCTAAGGTTGGCAAATTAGGGAACGAATCCGGTTTCGCGCCTTTCCGGTAATCGATCCCAATGAAACTTGGCAAACAGATGTTGTTCCACGAACTTTTGAGGTCTATTTTTTTGCTGAGCACTTCATACAATAGCATCTGACGACACCTGGCGCATCTTATCTATAGCAACTAAGTTTTGGTTGCGTTGGGAAGGAACCTGAGTTGCAGGTTTCGGTGCATGGATGTTTGGTACGTTGAGGGCTGAGACTTATTTTTATTTTCCAATTTCTTACATTCATCGATGGTGTGTCCGATGAAATGACTGAACTTGCACTTCTCCATCTTGTAGCTATTCTGGTCACCCTCAACCTTCTTGGGAACACACAATTCGAAAATTTAAAAAAATACTAAATGGATCTTATTGCGAATAATGTGATTATTTTTATTTAAGTATACATTATTAATAATCCATTTAGCAACGAGAATATATTGGTTTCATTCAGTATTATTTTTTAATTTTCACATCATGTCCTCTCAAATCTACAATTTTGAGTTATTACAGTATTTGATTTCGTGTGCGAGATGTTAAGCAACGATGTGGAGACCATGTTACGCGTTCGTGTAGTAAATGCCTATATACTCTAGCCTTGAATAGCCCTAAAATGTAGCTTTCGGGAAACAAAAATGTCCGGCAGTGTATTAACTTCCTTTGCCGTACGTATCAGGAAGGATGAGGCAAAGCGCTTCATGTGCACAGGGTCAAGAGCACGTCCAGCTTTACACTTAAGACTTACATTCAACACTTATGTCGCTTACGATAAGAACGGTCCAAAGTACAAAGTGTCAAGTTTGGTGTGCTCTTGACTGTACGTGTGGAAAGCAATGTTTCGGAGTTTGTAGTAGACCTAAGACGGGACGGTGTGGGTTCAATTAAATTATAAAGTCCCTGCGCACACTCTCCGAAATGTATCCGATAGTAAAATAAAGAGTAAAATAATTCGACGTAAAAAGTGTAGAAAGATGTTAAACAGGGCTTGAACAGTTTACTGTTTTATGTGGCGACGGTAAGATGTGGAGCGTATTCATATCTGTTGTAGGACGGCAGAGATATGTCTTTTACATCTGAAAGAAAAAAACACAAAAATAATAATTAAGAAAATTTAAATCTGCTGCAACGTTTTGCCAACCCACTACGGAGAAAGTTTCTATGGACGGATGGATGGAAATACTTAGTCGCAAGTAGTGTTTACAGTCACAAGTCGCTTTTTAACAAGCAAAATTCTAGGCAAAAGCAAGTATCAAATAAATTCTCTAATTATGTAGTTAGTAGCGCTCCTTGTAAAAGAGGTTGTCGATGAAAATTCTGCCTCCACACCTATTTATGTTTTGAAAAGAAAGGGTGCTGGTGAAATTACAGGCACATTGGTGAAGGGTAACGCGACCATACATCCCGATTTTCGGCGGACAGTCCCGCTTTTAAGCTTCGTGTCCCCAAAATACTTTAAAATGTCCCGCTTTGGCAAAACAGGACACACGTGACACAAAATTTAAAAAATGACGCGAAAGCGTAACAGCTAGCAAATCTTGTGCGTCGTACTGCGCGTGCATTGTTTTTGCCGGGAATGAATCGATGGCGTGATGTTTCGGGCTGCCGTGGAACTAAACCTGACATACTAAAGTAAAATTCTTCACCCGAAAAATACATAATGCCAGCCCACCAGCCTGCAAAAGATTAGTTATACGTTTTTATTTTGTGTTTTTTAAAATTTATCAATAAACATTTTTTTCATCATTAAACATATAATAAATGTACAGGCGTCCCGCTTTGAGGACAAAATGGTCACGTTAGTGGTGGGTAAGGTACAACGGCAGTTCTCTTCAGATCGTAACTTAAAGCACTAAATGGTACTTCCACAGATGTATCGCTTTTCACCAGGCGCACGACTATTTCTCTGTTTGTCCCGTTATGTGACATAATAAAAAGTACAGTTACACACGGCTCTAAGTCAATATAGATGTAATCAAATCTATGGTTGTAATATATGTATAAGAAGCATCGATTACAACGCGACCTCACGAATTACGGTAAGAATGCGCGGTTTTCACTCGAATGGTTACATCAAGAAGATTCATACTACGCAAGTAACATCTTTAGTATATGTTATATATACTTAGTGTACTGTTGTTAACCGGAAAATAATAAAATAAAAAAAATAAGAAGCACAATTGAATGAAAGATATTGTTTCAAGTGGCTGTGAAGCGTGTGGAAACTGGAAACTGCTGTTTTTCCGCCACAGTCGCATGTATAATATCGCAAAATATATGAACGCTACGACAACCAGCCCGTTACATCAGACCATGTACGTATAATAATATGTGTATTCATCATCATCCTATCTCAGCCTACTGATGGCGGCAGCTTATCACATCCTTTTGCTGCCAGCAGCCTTTCACAGATCATCATTCCATATGGCCTGAGGGCTTCCTGCGCCTACTACGTTTGTAATGTATGCTGAAAAATGGTTACTTTACATTTTTGTAAAACAAATTCACCTTTCACATGTACTTCTTGGACGTTGGAAGGAGTTTCGAAGACCTCGATGGTTTGTTGAATCACGTACAGCTGGATAGCGTACACGCCTAAACAGATAAATAATAAATTAACAAATTTCTTCATCACTTGTCAGGTAAAATCAATGACAAAGAATTCGACAATAGATATCAAAACGACCTATGGAAGTGATACGTTATCTATGAATACGCTGACAAAAAATATAATTGAAATAAACAATTTCATTTAAAATGAACTAAAAAGCTCGAAGGAGGAGGTTTTCAATTCGAACGTTTTTTTTTTTGCATGTATGTTAATCGATTACTCTGGCATTTGTAAACCGATTTTGATGATTCTTTTTTTATTAGAAAGAGAGTATACCTCAGTATATGTTGCATTTAAATTTGAAGAAAATATTCTGTCGGATTTGGGTTCATTAATTTGTCTCATTCTCTCACTCTCACTCACTCACACGATTGTTAGCTAACGGATCATTGACTTACTAATAAATGGACGACTTCTATAAACATATTTTATGGAAACAATAAATTATGTAAGGATTTTTTTTTGTTAAAAGTGATTGCCGAAATACAAACTTAGTCTTACCAACACCCCGTATAGAAATTTATCCAAGTAGCCCACATTATAGAGCAGTAAAAATCTATAACAAATTACCTGACACACTGAAAATAATAGAAAGAAACTCAACATTTTGTAATATACTCAAATCAAAAATGCTAGTAGATATTCAATTAATCAAAAATTTGAAGAACTTGTATTCAAATAGTAGCATTAATTTTAATTTTTAGTTCATAGGATTTGTCATTTGTTATACCCTTACTGGGTGCATGTAACATCTCAAATGTGACGCGTCTACCAATACAAATAAATAAAAAATCATAACAACTGCTTACCAAAGAAAAAGAAAATCTGCATTGCGAAGATCATGGAAACCAGTAGACCCAAACACGCCATGATGATGACAATAACACTCATCGTTACAACTGATAGCATGAGGCCAATTACCCCGAAGGACAAGTATATATGCATCAGTAGCGTTTTTTCCTGAAAAAAGAAAAGTATGGTAAATTTGACAAACGTGACCAGCGACTTGCGTATGCCTAAATAAAGATATCTACTAGTACATCAGAAGGAGGAAGAAGTCATATTGGGCCAACGTGGCAGACAATATACAAAGTGCAATAAAAAACTGGTACGCATCATAACATTAGTGAAAATAAAAAAATAAATTAACGGAAAAATATTTGTTTTTCCAATCCCCATACATAACGCCAATCGAGTAGTTGATATGAGAAAGTAAATATTTATTTAAAATTATTAATACAACGATCGAACACAGGAAAGGAAAAAGTTCCTTCGGTCCGGCTGGATTCGAACCAGGGTCGCCTAGCAAACCGTGTCAGACGCTATGCTAACAAGCCACGAACGAACCAGCGAACCTCACGAATTTTTCTGTGTTAAAAACAAACCTGAGTGAAGAAATAGGTTTCTCATAGATGGCGCTACAGCAAAAATACATCCCGAGATTATGCAAATGTGTACGTCCGTAACGTGACGGGCGCGCACACTACTATCAACGCTGCAACGTTTGTATGCATTTACCATATTTGACTGAATATAATAAGGTAGTTTCAATTCTAATGTTCTAACATCTCTCTTCTTATGAGGTTCATGGTGGTTCCCGCAAATCGAATCTACTTGTATAATATCGTCTCTACTCGATTTACTTCAATCGAATAGTAATGACTTGTATGGAATCGACAGCGCATTTCCAAGAACAAAAACTTTATCGAAGTACAAAATAGTATTTTTTCCACTCCTGTACTTTAATCTGTCAATTATAATTTCATAAACCATAATATAAAAGCGCTCCTTTTAGTTCTGAATCAAAGTTCTATTGTCTATGATACTCGCCACCGAGCTGAAGAATTTCATTGAAGGTCTGTACACAGGTACGTACACAGAACTATTATGAGAAATATGGTACTGTACACAGAACTTGAATGAGTTTCAAAAAAATAGTCGTATTTTTGCTAATAAAAATATCAATTACGACGCTACTCAAATGCTATACTGCCTCCTGATTGGTTAGATTGGCCGAAAAATCTTGCAACCGGGCCATAAATCTCTGTAAAAAAATGATTGGTTATAATTTAAGCGGTACTTGACCACTTCTATCTATCTCTTTGGTTTTTTGTTTTGTAGCGTTTATTGGCTATCGTCTAAATATATGAGGGCTGTATGGTGAATCTTCGCCTACGCTAAAAATGGGTTAAGATTTTTTTTTTAAATGCGTTTCTTGTCATGGATTGTTAACGAAATAAACATTAAATATTTGGTTCTGTTTCATTACACGTAGAAAAAATATAGTATGCAATCATTACATAATTAGATATTTAAATCTCGTACCTATTACTTAGGCCACTCGGCAAAGCCTCGTGACTTAAACACGGTATTCGACTTTACGAAACCTCATTATGCAACGATTGCATAAAGTACTACAATGACTAGGACAATTACAAAGTAATAGTTGAATAATTACCATATGAGTACCAGCAATCAAGGCAGCAGTGAATATCATACAAATAATTCCAATCGCTAGAACACTAGGTGGGACTACGCTATTCGCGAAGTAGAAGAAATTATAATATTCGTGTGAATTCTCGAATAAATCATTCCAACTCGCCAGGGCCACCGAGGATACAATGATGAACAAAATACTGATTGTCTGGAATGTAAAATTAGAATAGAATAGAATATCATTTATTTCTTGTAAATGTGGTACCAAAAAAACAGATGTTACAAAATTTAAAAAAAGTTCCGCATATTTTGCCAACAAGCGGCATAGAAATATTAAAATGTCAAAATAAATTTGTATCAAAAAATTCAACTAATGTCAGATGTAAGTTGAAAATATTAAAAACATGATTTAAAATGTGATTGAATTTAATAAGTTGCCATGTAGATAATCACTAATAGTATAATAAGATTTATCAATATGGAGCGATATCTTCATGTTTTCCGGTAGTTTATTATACACATATTTTTGGTGCCACCCGACTATACTCCTTTTCAACAAAGGTGTTTCTTGCTCTGACATCCGATAACTTTATAAATTGATGGATGTTCATTTTTACAAATATACATGTTTCCAAAATCTATAAAGAGGGTAGAGTTGATATGCAAAGCGAAATAAACATTTGTTTGCAGTTTTCTGTGGGTTTTAGCCCACACAGCTCTTATGCACCTTTTTTGGGATGTGAATATGTTTTCTCTTTCACTATAATTTCCCCAGTATAAAACACCAAACCTTTATGTTGATGCAACTAAACCATGGTAAAGCTACCACTACGGATTCCAGTTTTACTTTTTTAGACAAAGCTTAGAATGCAAGTTTTCTACAAAGTTCTTCCGCTTGAAGTTTCCATGTTAAATTAGATTTATCAAGAATAAAAATGCACCCTACGTGGTAATCCAAGTCGTTGAGACTACCTGTCTACCAATTTTCATCCAAATTATTAATATACGAAGATTTATTTATTTTAATAGATTATTATTATAAAGATCGGACACAAGTAAAACTTCTTCGCGCTAACAGAACTTCGATCTTTGTACCTACTTATAATTATAACATCTGGTGAAGTAATTTCACAAAAAGTAAATGATTATCACGATAGTAAAGACTAATAAATACAGTTTCAGTGCTTAGTTTGCGTGGCACGAGTGCCAACAATGCGCGGAGTTCTGCAAACTTGAGCTCAGTCGGCCATTTTCGCTGTATACGTTGTGGCGTGTCAATTATCTCGCGCAAAACATCGAAAATCGTAGAAAATGCGTTATTTCTATATTTTAACAAATTTTCAATTTTCTCTTTATCGTCATTTTTTATCATTAGAAAGGAAAGCAAACCTTATACCACTACAATATGGTCGCTTCTTTTTTTGAGAACTTAGTAATAATCTCGAATTCGTCGTCGTTCAGCTATTGACCGCTAAATGGCAGCATATTGATTGAAATTTCAATATAAAAATTAAAATGTAACTTGCTGTAGTATAGAAATTTCTTAGATGTGCCAACATGGCAAAATTTTAATTACATTAACAGTTCAGAATTTGTTATTTCTTTTTAAATTATAATAATAAATAATAAAATTTATTTATTTCCACAAATTACAAATAGATACAATAATACACATACAACAATTACAATGAAAGCGGAACAGGTAGCAAGTAACGACACTGACTCTTGAACTAGGTAAAAACCTGTATCTCAAGAGACAGAGATTCAAATGGATGAGTTCCTTATAATTATTTTAAAAATTAGTGAACATTGACGAGATAAAACCAAGATGAATAGAGGGAAAGACAGTTATAATGCTAATTATATTTAACTTAAGCTATGAGAATGTGTGTGTGTGTGCGTGTGTGTGTGTGTGTGTGTGTGTGTGTGTGTGTGTGTGTGTGCGTGCGTGAGTGAGTGGGTGCGTGCATGTTTGTGTGAGGGGGTGCGTTGTGGTTGTGGGCTGATGGGTTTGAAAAACCTTCTGGACTTCGCATCGGCAGTACGCTGGATAGTAGCCGTAACGTAATGACAAGACAAATTAGAAAGTACCTACGATCAATCATTATCAAGATTTCATAGTGTTTAAAAATTATGAATGTGTGAGTTTTGGCGACAGGTTTTGATAGTAATCGAGGTTTAACTTAGTCACCGGAGGAGAAGCGGGAACAATTGTTTTGCTAGATCAAACGGTTCAGGTATTTACTACTAAATAACGATCTTACAAGAATATACGATACACCTAAGTGTATTGTCTAAAGAGTGTGCTAATGTGTTACACTGTAGGATGTACTTTACTCGATCATATAAAATGCTGAAAACAGGATAAAATAAAAGTCTAAAACGAGTTATTTAAGAATAAAATATCTAACTTTTTGTATAATTTTTATAAGGAGATATTTCTCTTTAAGTACCACAGAAAACCTGCAAAATTTTGATTTTCAACTGTAGCCATTTATCCAAAAATTTACTAATTGCCCAGGGGTTTGACTACACCCTCGTCGCTCGCTACCCCGTCTGTCGCAGTCGGGCGCTTGTTGACATCATGTCGGTGTCAAATTGTCTCCGCCTGTTCTTATTTTATTGATACTAATTTACAGTGCGCGGATTGCGGGACGCGAGGGGCGATCCCCCGCCCCCACCTCACCTCCTATAACTAGGCGCGCGTTGCAATACCTCGCCTTAAGTCAATTGGCTTTTTTTTTCACTTCCATGGTAAAACATCATGATATTCCATAAAATTTATGTATCATCCAAATTATTTGTAATTTGAAATGTTTTGATTTTGTTTCGTTGTTTTCTTTTAATTTTTTTTTTTTTCGTTTTACTTTTTTATTTTTTTTACACACTCATAGCCCCGCACTAGGGAAACTCTGTATCACGGGTGCCATGGACACACACATAGATAACCACAATTCACGAGAGAAATGAATGTAGGCCATACAAATATTTCTCCCGGCCAGGGAATCCAATCCGAGATGTCTGCGAGGAAGTCCGGCTGATAATCGTTCGGCCACGGAGGCAGTTAAAGTTTATTCTATCTTTGTGTTACGGCGTTGCAATAAATTTTTTTCTATATTGTCATTGACTTACAAATAAATGGACGACGGGTCTAATACAAAAACCACGAAAAAAATGTCCCAAGTCAACCTATTTAAACGTAGTGACATGTAAAGGAATATGAAAAAGCTAAAACGTTGAATTTACATTGTAATGTCATCGCAGTACTGTCTAATTTTGCTTGCTTCGCTGTCAGTCGAACAAACGAAGACTAAAGCGTGAATGACGCTCTGTATACGATTTTAACGCCCTATAAGTTCGGACACTTTTTAGCGCGGACCCGACTTCCATATAATTGTAAGTCAATGTATATTGTATTCGAATTCCGGCTGTCACTTTGGCGTGATTGAGTAAAATATCCAAGCATTTTTATTCATAATATAAATGTATACGTCACGTGTGACGTGTGAAAATGTATTTTTAGGATTAATAAACTTCTAAAACGTAGATAACAATGAGCGATCAAAGGTATATTTGCTCACTGCTTTTATCTACCTTACACCGAGCTCAATAAATTGTTTGCTTATTGATAATTCATTTACATTTATTATGAGATATTGATTGAAATTATCAGCTCCACCACTTATTTTGACATTTGGTCTGATTTCCACAGGAATATTGCCAGGGTACTTTACTTTGTAGCCCCAAAACAGACATAACCTATAGACCTGACCACACGCTATTATCCTACAGTACTTACAATATTCAAGTACCCTATGAACAGAGTTGCATTCTTCAATTTGGGTATAGACAAAGACTTTGTATAATCCATGACTCGACAATTTTTTTTATTATTTTCCATTTGTGGCACCGGATCGATCATCTGAAAAATACATTAATGTAATTATAGCATTCAATATAGACGGTTACAGGCCTTAATGCGAATAAAAATATACATGTAAGTATGCATGTTATATTTTCACGGGAAAATAAAAGTTTTAAGGTAATACATTTCACTTATTAGAGGTTATTTTACTTTGCTACAAAGCAAAAAACACAACAAACTTACATTTTTATTTTGCAATTACCCAACAAAATTCAATAGCAATAACCACACTCCGGGACAACAAAGGACTCTGATAAAATATATATAGCAAATTTAATACGCAGGCGTCTGACTTCAGCCCGCACAACACACTGTTTGTAATCACAAACTATGTAAAATTCGTAATCTATCGATATACTACTACTATCTATTGCTGTTTGATATAATGATAAATGTCAAGTACGTGTTTTGCATTAGAGAGGGTTCAGGGGCTACAACAAGGAAACAACTAGGCGCCCACTTTTGGGTTATAATACTAGATAAACTTCAACAATGGAATTAAAGATACTTAAGATTTATGTTTGTCTTTTGTGAAGTTCCCAAGTCGTACAAGACGGAAGTCAGGTATCCACCTGAATAGTATATTGTCATCCGACAATATACTATTTTTAACAGACTTTTTTTTGTATGTATATTACGCGATTACTGGGACGTTGGTGAACCGATTTTGATGATTCCTTTTTTTTGGAAATAGTGTATTGGTCCCATTTAAATTTAGAGAAAATATTTCACCTCGAAGGGTGATGAATCCGGTTTCGCGCTCATTCCGGTAACCGAATGCAATAAAACTTGGCAATTAGATGTAATTCCACAAACTTAGTCTTTTGTTTTATAAAAAAGGTACAATTATATTTACAACGTACGTGAGTAAATAAACACAAGACTTTTTTTTTAAATTCCATGTCTGTACTGTATCAGAGACGCATTGCTATTGGCCTACATTTTGTCTTTGACAGTATGTATAGTGTTGGTTACATGCGAGTGTATTGGGAGAATGTGTGAGAGAAGTGTACTCAGAATAGTACAATACCTAGCACTACTTAACACTATTTTTTGTTTTCTCTTTCTCTCTCCCTTTTTTCCTCTTTTTCCCTTTCTTTCCTTTTTGTTGTTTTTGACTTTTTTCATATATTGAAAAAAAAAAGCACAAGACTGTAATACAATCTACTTATAGTAAGTACAAGATTTCTATTTTTTCTTTGGTATAGGTATTTATGTTGGTGTGCCAGGAATAGGTTTATAAAATGTTGATTTTGAATCAATACAATGTTGATTTTTTATACATAAATAAACAAAATTACACAGACAATACGTGCGGACATACCAGTGAAATAAATCTTTAGCTGGGAGAGCGATTAGCCCCCGTCTCGCAAACTGTGTCGCTGGTTTGAATCCTACTGGATTGAAGGAAATTTTCTTAGTGTTTGGTCGAACTTTGGTAGCCGTTGGACATTTTTTTACCTACATCTAATTTTTTATGGTGTGGTACGGTGTGCCGGGCGGGTGCGGTCGATGCAGGGTCCTACTCGTGCCACCCAAGCTTCTCCAGAAACCTCAGCAGCCTCTTGGGTTTGCTGAATACTTCGGAGAGCGACCTCGGCACTCCAAAGTACTTCGCCCTGTAGTTGGCCACGCCGGAGCATTGCAGAGGGATGTTCTCGGCCATTTTCGGCACGCTCTGCATAGAGGGCAGTCTGTGATACCTAAATCTAATTTTATATTGCGATGTTCCTCAACCGATATGCATTAAATACAAAAGTAGAATAATAAATAAAATTGTACTGTCATTGATATGATCGTCATGATTGATCAAGCACAAAATTTGAATTCCGACCTTGTTAAGTCTATGGGGAAAACATTCAGTAACATTTTGCGGGCGTAAACATGCAGAACCGAGAAAAGAAAAAAAAGACTGCAGCGCTGCAGTAGAGAATCGACATTCCAACTAGTTCGTAGTAAGACTACAATTAAAACTTTAAAAAAACATGTACTTTGTATGTTACATGTATCTAGACTTTGTGCTTTTGGGCAATGAAAGCTGAGGTGCTCTAGGAATATCCAGATAATATTCTATCATTGCTACTTCGTTTATTTAAGTGACATCAATAACTATAAGGTATCCTGCGATACTGCAATGGTAAGTGGTAGTATGCATAGGTAGATTGATCTGAAAACTCTGAATTAATATTGACCAAATAGTTAAATTGAAATAAATATATTGAATTTATTAGATTTCAAATCATTTTATGAAATAGATTTCAAAGTTTTTTGAAGGGTAAGGGTGCTGGTGAAATTACAGGTACATGGGACTTGTCAACTTATGTCTCAGGGCGACGGGCGCAGTGGCTGTGCCCCTCAGATCTTTGCGATTTAAAACTCTGAGTGGCACTGCAACTGTTATGGACAAGCGTGTCCCGTGTACCAGCAGGCGCACGACTTGTTCGTCCCGTCACTTGGAATTATGACAACTAAATAATAATAATTTTTATATAAATAAACCGACCTCAAAAGTTCGTGGAATTAAATTTATTTGCTAGTTTTATTGAAATCTGTTACCAGAAAATGTGCGAATCCTGATTCATTCCCTAGCTTGTCACCCTTAGAGGTGGAATATTTTCTTCAAATTTAAATGGGACCAATACTGACATATCCTCTTTCCAACAAAAAAAGAATCATCAAAATCGGTTCACAAATGCCAGAGTAATCGCATAAGATACACGAAATACAGTCGAATTGAGAATCTCTTCCTTTTTTGAAGTCGGTTAAAAGATTTAAAAACATTTTTCAGCTAATCTTGCATTGTAGTAAAAGTCTGGGTTGCCAGTTTCTCTCGTTTTCAAAGTACTTGGCAGACAGTCTTGATTAAGCAGAATATCTTATCCGCGCATACTTTATTTTAATTTTATTTGACATAAAAAATAATTGACGCACAATGATATGACAAGTCATCTCTTAAAGGAAATCTAAGAAGGAAATAGAAATAATAATTAACTAAAGTGCTAATAAAGTCAATAAGAAGAGCCAGCCTGGTTGGATACGAGACATGCACATGCGAGACGAGGAGAAATCTCTCCGATTGCAAAGAGGAATGTAAAAAATGTAATGGATTGAGAAGATATCAAATGAGGAAGTTTTGAAAGGAAGAAAGAAACCCTTGAATACAATAAAGTGGAAGTAAAAAACACCATAGGTAAATAAATTTATACGGGAAAACGTAATTTTTTAAGTTTCTGCTAATAGCTACTACATAGAACAGAGAGCGGGAGAAATTTTTGGAATTTGTTACGTAATGACGTATTTGTTAGAATTATAATGGATGATAGAAGGAAAAAGAAAGAGAGGAATATCAGGAATGGCGTCCAGTGAACAAATAAAGAAGAACATCAAAGTGAGCAGCTGTAAAGAGATCAAGTCTGGTTATGAACCGTGAGGTGTGGAGGAGGCTAATAATTTCAAATTAAGAAAAAAAAGTAAATATTTTTTCAATATTTTATTGTTTTATAAGGCGACGGTGAGGGGTGTGTAATGAAAGATGTAACAACAAATAATCTATTTTCACTTGGTATGATAACATTTGATATTATTTTTACAAGATATAATCACTCACTGTATATACATAAATAATATCAACAAAAGGTATAACAACAAGAGGCATAATTTCAATGTGTATAATGAACCTTCAATATAAGAAACATTAGATATAATGATTAAGTGACATAATGAACAAATGGTATAAGTACTGCCAGTATAATGTATTAAATAATATAAGACAATATTTCATTTTACGAATAGCTGAAGCGCTCTACATTATGTTGATAAGAATTTTTTTTTATACCATTAAAATGTACAATCGCAAAATATAATTGTTTTTGTGTAGCTTTAAGTGCTTTTTGTGTTATAAAATATATTTATTAAAACTTTAAGTAGAATATTTAATTGCATATACTAACCTACACACTCAACATTATACTCAGCGAAAATGTTATATCTGAAGTGTTTATATAAAATGAACATTATGCCATCGGTATATTAGATTGAAAGTTGTTATATCAATCATCTATTATACCCAGTGACCTTTATATCATGCAAGAATATGTCAAATATTTGCATTCCATAAATTAATTATATCTGTTGAGCGTTATATCGACTAAAAGTATGTCATTTGTTGTTATGTATTACGAATCGCACCCGACGGTATGTCGTGTACAATGTACAATCGCAAAATATAATAGTTTTTCTATAGGTTTAAGCTTTTTGTATTATAAAATATATTTATTAAAACTTTAAACAGAATATTTAATTGCATATACTAGCCTAACCTAAGCCCACAGATGGAGATCGAACCAAATAGCAAATGCGTTTTATGCGTATTAAGTAATTTTCTGTGAAAATTCCAGACAATTGGTTTTCGCAGTACAACGACGAATATACTAACCTAACCTAAACCCGCAGGAAGAGGTCGGAACTAGGAAATGTAAACAAATTCAGTACATTCACCGTTGCACGTAAACACCACTGGAATTATATCAATTTTTTTTTTCACTCATACACATTCAACATTAAACTCAGTGAAAATGTTATATCTGAAGTGTTTATATAAAATGAACATTATGCGATCGGTATATTAGATTGAAAGTTGTTATATCAATCATCTATTATACCCAGTGACCTTTATATCATGCAAGAACATGTCAAATATTTGCATACCATAAATTAATTATATCGATTAAAAATATATCATTTGTTGTTATGTATTACGAATCGCACCCGACAGTAAGACGTGGTTCAAATTCGCATCCCTCGTATGGCGGTAGGAATGTGTCTTTTTCATCTGAAAAAACAAAATGTGTAAGTAATAAGAATATTTAAATAAGAAAATTTAAACGTTATGATTAATATTGTTTGTTGTTAATCTACTAAGTAATGTATCTATATAGTGCGGAAATAGTACATTATGATATAAGTGCGGTAAGTTGGAAATTACAGCTATAAGAAAGCAGAGGCTGTAATTTTCAAAGCGCACGTATGTCATACGACGTTTTATAACATATTTGCGAGGAAATAAATAAGACTCTGACTTTCTTAAACGAATAAATCTTTAATTACTTGTTAAAGCAGTTATAGAAATTTGAACAATTTCTAAAAGTGATTGTTACGTTGCCAGTTGGCATTTTTAATGTTGTCAAGTTATTATTATTAGTTACAATCTCCCCAGTCTCTCTCTCACTCTCTTGAGTGAAAGTAGGAGAAACGAGACCACAGAGTTCTGCAGTCGGTGGCGGCGGCGGAGGCGGTTGCGGCTGCGGCGACGATGGTGGAATGTACGCGTGTGTGCTCGTAGATGGTTGAAAGTCAACACTTGACTCCAAATTTATGTTCCTTGTAATGCGAGAGCTAATTTCTTCTTTATTTCTTATCGAGTCTTCTATGTATCCTTCGGCTACATTGCTTGACCGCCATCCTCCGTGGCGTTTTAGTGTCAATAAGTCCGCACCTGAATCGGCGAGCAATGTAGCCGAGGACCTTCTGAAACTGTGCCCTGTGTATTCATGTGCTTGAGGCAAATTTAAGAAATTGGCAATTTCTTTCGGCATTGCTCCCAATTTATTAATGCCAATGGGTTGGTTAGTGCATTTTCCATTTCGGTAATTTTGAAAAAATCTGTTGGAATTAGCTTTTTTTGAATGAAGCGCTTCGTATTTCTTCACTACGTCGTAAAAAGGCCCCTGTATTGTGAACGACCTTGGAATTTTATTTTTTGTGTTTTTGACCTGGACAAGAAGAACCAGCCCATGGTTCTCGACATCATTAGTTGTTATGTTTGCCAACTCTTGACGTCTACATGCACCATATTAATACAACCTGAAAAGAGATAAAAAGAACGTATAAACACCTATATTGTAAAGAAATACGAAAGTTAAAGAAATTAATAACAATAATTTAGTTTCAACCGACCTTTGTTGCCAAATATCGCCAATCCGGAGCTTCTTTTAGGAACTTCTTGATATTGTCAGCCGAAAATACTTTCGACTTTTTACTTACATGGCCATCTGAGCGTCTTTTTAGAAATGCTATCAAGTTGGAGTATGACTTGATATCAATACCATGGTTTGTTTTCATAGTGCTTTTTAGCATTGAATAGTAGCACCACCTTAGAATAATAACGCATAGAATGATAGTTTCATAACAAACGAACTGTCACAAGTGAGGCAAAAACCAAATTCATGTAGGCGTAAGCAACTTGTAACTACGCTCGTCGGCACGCACACAAATATACAAATAATGATGCCATGGAATAACATTTCCCTCAAAAGTGGGGAAATTGTATCTTGCTTAACTCATCATTAAGTTAAAGGTGCCTACAGATTTGCCCGACATTGTCGATCAGGTGCCTACAGATATGCTCGGTTTTGTCGATGAAAAACGAATATAGCACTTATTTGTAAATCCAAGATGGCGGACACGAGTTTTCAAATAAATGCAATATGGGTATCATTTTCGAGGTACTTGAGGGTGCTCATTACGAATGTGGCACTCATTTGTAAATCCAAGATGGCGGGCACGATTTTTTCAAAAAAATGCTATGTGGGTATCATTTTCGAGGTATTTGGGGATGCTCAATGTGAATATGGCACTATTTGTAAATCCAAGATGGCGGGCACGATTTTTCAAATAATGGCAAGTTGGGTATCGTTTTCGAGGTATTTGGGGGTGCTCATTACGAATATTGCTTTTGTTTGAACTGTCGTGTTTGCCATCTTGGATTTAGAAATGAGTCACATATTTGTATTGAACATTCCCAAACATCTCGAAAACGATACCCAACTTGCCATTATTCGAAAAATCGCGCCCGCCATCTTGGATTTAGAAATAAGTGCCATATTCGAAACCTAAAACCGAAAATGCCATAAGCAAACATTAAAGAAAATAACTGTTAAAATAGATTAAAAAATCGCTTAAGAATGCTCCCCTTTTAAGAAAATAAAATATTTTAATATAAAATATTTCGCTTGAGTTACGAAAAGAAAGACATATAATAAGCTATCAAAGTTGTACTGGTGGTGCCAACACTATAGTAGAAACAAATATATACTGTAAATTTGTTGCAATATGTGCTCCAATTCAAATAAAATTAATATAAATAATTATTCAATAAAGCATGAACGCAGAGCCGTTAAAAGTATTATAAAATAATTAAGTGTCCCAATCACTTACAGGAGTTAACGAAAACATTTAATGTTTATTCGAGTAAATATTACTTCAAAATGCGCAAATAAATCGAAATTACAGGCACCACTAAAAACGTAATATAATTATTTTGATACAGAATAGCAAAATGGGGAGAAAAAAAATTCGTTACTTTGCAACACTTTCGTATCTTGTTGCCGCGAAATTATTTTTCTGTTTTAGTGAATATTTACATAAAAATATGAGTTGAAACGCATTACTTACTTGTGGAATGCGATGTTAGTGTCTATTTTGTTTGTCTGTTGTATTTTTACACCCATTTACCGCACATTTCGTCATTTTTAGCAAAAAATTTTGGAGCTGTTCGCGGTGCAATATGACCTTGAGCACTAACAGCCCGCGCGCTCCTGGGACGCGTTTGGAACCCTCTATAAATAACTTGCCTCACTTAGCGTGTGCGGGCTAGGTTTCTATGCGTTATTATTCTAAGAGCACCACAATGAGCTTGACTTATATTTTTGAGAAAGTTCCATGAAATAGGCTAAAAACACATTTTCTGAAAATGAATTTGCATCTTTGCTTGTTTTCCATATGATGAAATTTTGATACGCTTGTAAGTATCTATCGGTCGATTTTTCAGGTAAGAGGCTTAGAGTAGCCTTTTTCGCTGCGGTTAAGACTTGTGGCGGTGTCAAATTAATAAATTCATCACTACTTGACGACATTTTCAAATAATGTTTTTATAATACAGCGAAAAGAAAAAGCGCGCGAAATAATTTTTACTTGTCCACAAATTAGCCATGCGCGCGCATCAACGTTTTTTTTAGGCAAAGGTATAAAAATAGCCAGTATTACTAATAAAATAAATTAATATTTTCGTGTTTTTGTTACAGAGAAATGGTTGTAATTTATTTTATTGTCAAAATTAATTAAATGAAAGAATTAATTGTTTATTTACTATATTTTATCTCCCAAAGTTAATTTTATTCATAAAATATTGACCACTTTTCTAACATAAAAACTCTTTGCAAAGATTTAAAAAAATATCGTTCATTTTTAGACGGAGCATCTTAAAAAACCGTGCATGATACTTTATTAAAAAAAAAAACTCGTGCGTTTTACATTACAATAACGCACTTGTGTGTTTTACATTACAATAACGCACAAGTGCGTAATGAAATACATTACGATATTGAAATTGGTGTGATTTCAGCCACTTTACGAGCAAATATGTTATAAATGATATTTTGCAGCCCTAATAGGATGTAACACTCTGTTCGTTTATTTTTGAGCATTATATTCTGTTTTATCCACATAAATATATAGATGTCCACACACGACAGTAAATTAACTGCTTATTCATGAGAATTGTTTTAATATTCTTTTTTTATTATTGTTCCTATTTTTTTGTTTATATGCGTGTCCGTGTTTGTACAATAAACAGTTTTGTTTCTTTCTTTCTTTATAAAGAAATTTCCATAAATCGCAAATGGTCGCAATATATTAGTTTCTATTTCGACGGCTTATGATCTCTTTTTTACACTGGCGCTTCATTGACGTTTTGAACGACGCGTAATTATTATTTACTTGCAAATATTGATTAGCAGTATAGCTACTTTGGAAAGAGTTCGCCCAGGGAAGTAATTACTGCCAGCTTACCTGTTTCAGCCGCCAAGCAGTAATGTCAGCATTACTGTGTTACAGTTTTGAATGGTAAGGGTGCTGGTGAAATTACAGGCACTTGTCAACTTATGGCTCAGGGTGACGGGCGCAGTAACAGTGCCCCTCAGATGTTTGCGATTTAAAGCACTGAGTTTCACTGTTAGAACAGGCGTGTAGCTTACAAGCAGGCGCACGACTTGTTCGCCCCGTCACTTGATATTATAAAAAAAATATATTTCCGTCAAAATCTAAATAAGTATATTGCAAAAAACCCAGAAAACTGCGCGATTTTCTCTTAAATGTATTGAATAATTGTTATTGCAAACTCGTATTGCAATAACTTAGGTCATACGTCTTACGTTAAGTCTTAATAATACAATATAGGTAGGTACTATGTTTTGAGCCCATTATAGACATAATATTCAACTCACATATCTTTTTTTTTGTTTTAACGAAACTCACATGGCACAATTCTGCCTTGACTGTCAGAAGGGGTTTCGAAGAGCTCGATGGTTCGTTGGATCACGTGCAATTCAAACACGTACATACCTAAATAGATAAACAACAAATTAGTCGATTTCGTCATCGCTTTATTAATAGAATTATGAGGAAACCAATTGGTTATCTAAAAAGCAGATACAGACTGATAAGTTAACTTTCACTTATCAGTCTATATCTGCGTCACGTTTTCAAAAATAAAGTCGTCTTTATAGAATAAGTGACTCCAGAAAATAACATGAAAAAGCCCCCAATATAAAGCAGTGTAGGTTCCATCCACAATAAACTCGTCGAAACCGTTTAATGAGCATACACACGATAATTTTACTGTAATTGTGGAATGGGGGTAATATGCAAATCAATGTTACCATTATATTATTGTAGTATCATCGTACTTCCACGGTATTTAAAATTTGAAGTAGATCGAAGTGGAAGTAAAATAAATATTCATTAACACGTTCAACGCCAAGGGCCTCCGAGGCAAAAATCGTGGGAATCACATTTCTTTTTACTTGTATAGTTTCTATTGGTATTAATTTAGTGTGTTGAATTAATATTATGACCCACGTGCCCCATTATTCATTCTTTTTAATTTGTATGAAGTAGGATACCCTGGCCTAGGAGTTTTTTTCATACATTTAGCTAAATGTAAAATAAGTATAATAAATATAAGCATTATGTAATGAATGAGTAAACAAAATAATAATTTATAAATTAGGTTTATTGTACTAAATTTGATCTCATTCAATAAATTAATTGAGTATTTTTCTTTTAAATGCCAATTGAAACAATATTTTTAATATTTTTTTCTTAATTGAGTCATACTATCACAGATATTTATATCCCAAAAACACTGAACGATTCGTGAGGGCCAGGGCTTTCAAATGCTCGTACAAAATACTTTATTGTACAAAGTGCACACATTGGGTGCATATCAAGGTGGTGGCATATTTTTTTCTTATTCGGCACAAGCACGGCACGAAACATATTAGTGTATACTTACCAAAGAAAAAGAAAATCTGCATTGCAAAGATCATGGAGGTTAGTTTGCCCAATAACGCCATGATAACAACAATTAGGCTCAGAACACCAGTGGACAGCATAAGGCCGATAGCCCCGAAGGCCACATATAAACGCATCAATTGAGTCATTTCCTGAAAAATTGCGTATACTAAGTATTACAAATATGCGATTACACGACTTGTGTACGTATAAAGGCATGATAAAACATATGCCAAGGAACAAGAATACGTCATATTGTGCTAACATCACAGACATACAGAAAATGCCTCAGGGGCCGAACAGTTCCCAAGTTGGTCTGCCAAGCATAGATCCCGGGTTCGATTTTCGGGCCGCGACAAATATTTGTAGGGTCTACATTTATTTCTCTCGTGAGTTTGGGCATAACTTGTGGTTGTATTTGTGTGTGTCCATGGCATCCGAGACACAGGGTTTCCCTAGTGCAGGGCTACGAATGAGTGCGTTAATTATTTATTTATGTATTTATACAGATATACACAGTGCAACAAAAAGATGTGATCATATTTCAGCTGAATGATACTCGTTATATATGAATACGAAATTTTGTTCTTTTTTTATGATTAAATAGTCAAACAAGTCGTACTCCAGTTGGTGAGGAACGCGCCTGCCCATAACAGTTGCAGTATCACTCAGTGCTTTAAATCGTTACGATCTGAGAAGTCCTGTTACTAGACCCATCACTCTGACATTTCGTACCCTTGGTATACAACCACATGTTATTATATTATACGCCAAAAGTGCTTGAAATTCATCGAAATAATAAATTAGTGATATTTTATAACTCTCTCAAGAAAAGTTTTCATTTTGCAACTGTGGCCCTTTTACACCAAAGGTGCGAATTTCCTGATAAATAATAACCATTTCGTATACTACAAATATGATACCTGTGATATCACTGTCCCACCTGTGACATTGGACCTGCATGGCTGTCTATAGCATAACATAAACCCTTTGAGGAGACCGGTGCCCAGCAGTGCGATGTATAATGGGGTGACATATGATGATAGTATATTGTGATATAATTATGTCCTACTAAGAGGTATATGCTTCCCATACAGGGCGTCACGAAAAAAACATACTTCATCTCCAACATAATTAACCGATTGACATTGTATAGAGATTTGAAAAACAATTTGAAGACGTTTAGTCCGTTTACACAATTTATTAGCATCTAGGAGCATCAAGCATCAAGGTCGAGGAGACGCGCGGGGCACGTGAGTTGCCCTTGAAGTTGGAAGCTATGTCCGGACATTGTCGCAGGACACTGCGACTGGCAATTCCGGCACTAGCCCAGAGAGCTAGTAGAGGATAAGTTAGATATCCTCCGGTCCCTCCAGCCGGTGTGGTTATTGGGAACGAGAGAGTGAGAGACGTCGTTTTTCGGCGTCGGGAAATGACCCAATGCCACCAATGAGGAAATTTGGTAGTGAACTCAGAGTCGACGGCTTAGCGGTGGCAACTGCTAGTTGTGCAATGCGCAACGGGAAGTGAGCGTGCCTACAGCTCCGGTACCTATCTGGAAAATAGGGAGGGTACTGTACGTGCACCCGGGGCGGATCACCCGAGGCACTAGCCTCTCGAAGAACCGGATGAAGTCAAGTGACAGAGGTCTGTGAGAACCCTGTATATCTGGGGTCAGAACCTGAACTTGTAAGGTTCCTGTGCGCGCACAGGTTATAGTGTCCTTCTTGTATGCCTTAAGGGTAGGTAGGGAGGGTCACTATAATCAAAACTAACGTAGAAAGAAATGGTGCTTGTTCCCCATCAAACAGAAACGTGGCGGTTCCCCCAAAGCTTAATCCATTGACTACATTGAGTGAAATTGATATCGAGGAAAACTGCTATAAAAGTGGTGAGGGTATCAGAAAAGAGTATATCGAAGTTGTAGATAATTAGAAAAAAAAATTACCATATGAGTACCAACAATCAAGGCAACAGTGAATCCGAAACAAACAATTCCAAACGTAAGAATAATAGGAGGGCCGATGTAGTTCACGGATTCATAATAGGCTTTAATCGGATTAAAAACTGTCTCATTCACGTCGAAGAAATTACTCGACAGGCCTACCGATGACACTATGATGAACAAACTGCTGATTGTCTGAAACATAAAATTGGATTTGAGCACCAAACATAAAAGAACCCGTTCACCAATTATCATCCAAGTTCTTTCAGTCGCTTTGGTGAAACCAACATCCAATCAGATTTTTTTAATAATATCAAGTTACGGGACGAACAAGTCGTGCGCCTGATAGTAAGCTACATACCTGTCCATAGCAGTTGCAGAGCCACTCAGAGCTTTAAACCACAAAGGCAATAGGGGCACTGCCGCACGTGCCTGTAATTTCACCAATACCCTTACCATTCAAAACCCGAACGCAGTAATGCTGACATTACTGTTTGACGGCAGAAATAGGTAAGATGGCAGTACTTCACTGGACGAACTCATTCACAAGGACTTCTACCTACCAAAAATCAAACAATCAGATGTCAAAATTCAATTAACTGTCTCATACAGATATATCATTTCCGTTACGATAATGTTTACCTGCCATACTGCCCGTGCCCTTGTCCATAACTAAGGCATTTGCATTTAGGTAACTTTCGTAATATTGGCACCTAGTTTATTTTTTCTTTTCCAATTTCAACCAACATCCAAGCACATGTTTTCTAAATATCAAGTGACAGGACGAACTAGTCGTGCGCCTGATGGTAAGCTATACGCCTGTTCATAACAGTTGCAGTTGCAGCTTTCAATCGCAAAGATCTGAGGGGCACAGCCACTGCGCCCGTCACCCTGACACGTAAGTTGACAAGTCTCATGTGCCTATAATTTCACCAGCACCCTTACCCTTCATAACCTCAACACAGTAATGCTGACATTACTACTTGGCGGTAGAAATAGGTAAGATGGCAGTACTTCCCTGGACGAACTCTTTCACAAGGAGCTCTAACTACTATAATAGCTCTGCTACTAAAATAACATACGTTACGTTCATAATGTAAAGATAAATTTATACACAATAATGTAACAATTTATTAGGTTTTGATTTCCAGTGGAATAGGTATTTCCAAACTAGCACCAAAGGAAAATAAAACAAGTATGGTAACTTCATACAAACGTAGTAGCGCGGCTTGTATGTGTGCACGACAGCCGCGCGCCGTGTACAGACGCACACACTCGCATAACCTTGTGGTGCTTAGCGCGAGTCATCACACGTATCATTAATTGTACAATTGAAGCATTTACTCGGTGTTTAAACAACTTTTTTACAAAAAAAGACTGTCCTCAAAAGTTCATGGAATTACTCTATTTGCCAAGCTTTATTGAAATCAGTTACCGAAAAGAGCGCGAAACCGGATTCATCTCCTAGTTTGCCACACTTACAGGTGGAATATTTTCTTCCAATTTAATTGGGACCAATACCGAGGTACTCTCTTTCCACAAAAAAAAAAGAATCATCAAAATCGGTTCACAAATGTTATATGGTTATCGCGTAACATTTATTAAAAAAAAAATACAGTCGAATTGAGAACCTTCTCCTTTTTTTGAAGTCGGTTAAAAATGACGTAAAATGGTAGCGATGTGTATGTTGTTGTGTTTGCGGTAGTCTAAACAAGGGCGCCTAAAGTCAGAATTTCATTTCTACTTTATAATCATAATCCATAATCAAGATAACAAGTCCGCGATGTTGGTATAAAAATATCGATATGTATATAAAGAAAGGTTTTATCAATACAGCACCTAATTTTTTTCAAATTATGTACACCCTTCGGCCAAAACTCTTCCATCATGAGGGTCGACAAATGTTCGGTCGGCGCTCTCACCACAATCGAATTAAAATTCACGTTGTGGCGGGACTCCAACCTCTCGATCCTCAGGGTGTATTTGGTTTTTAGCCTGATGTACTCCACTTAATAATAATAATAATAATGTTACGGCTGGTGGGTTTCCTCTTCCGCTTCTCCACCCTTGTGAAGCCGTCCTCGACACACCGCAATAATGTATAAATCCTACGATCTGAGTGAAATATACCTAGGCATTTACGCGCCGATCAGGCGAGAGTGGCCCTACTTGCTCTTTTTGTGCGATTATACTATGCTAGCACCATTCATAATAACCATCTTGTTTTCATAGCACAGATTTCACTCAAAGAGCCGAACTTGCCCTATTGTCTTACGTAGGTACTTACAGCATTGAGGTAACCAATGAACAGTGTTCCACTCTTCAATTTGGTACCAGACAAAGACTTGGTGAAATTCATAATACCATTACTTTTTTTTTCCACTTGTGATGATTCGACCATCTGAAACATAAATCGACTTAAATTAATTTTGATATCTAGGCTAGTAATATGAATAAAACTTTATTTCAACCATTAATTAGTACCTCAGTAAAAAACAAAACTTACATCTTTAGTTTACGAACAAAAACAATTGTTTTTACGCTCCACGACAACAAAGACCGATTACTGTACAACGGACAAATTTAATGCGCCCACGTACGATTTCAAATATCATAACACTGATAAATTTGACATTAGTGTAGTGAAGTGAAGTTCGTTATCTATTGAACCATCACCACTTTCTGTGAGTCTTACAGCAAACCTGGGTTCTACTCTGGATCTCCTTCCGACATCCGTCCGAAACAATTACTGCCAAATAAGCAATACTTGACCAAATGAAAGTATGTACGTAAGTGAAAGTAAGTAGGGTACTCTAGTTCCCACTAGATCCTCACGACGAAGCGAGTCACACCGCCCCGTCGTCCTCCTCGCGAAGCCCCCGCTCCAATCGGCGGCAGCCGCAAAGGAACGGGATCAGCCGTCTCCCGATCACTCTCGGCGACCTCCTTCTGAAGCATCACAGAAGGAGACCACTGCCTCATGCGATACTTGATCCGCTAACATAGCCGCTCTTAGCCTGGCGGAGAGAGATCTCGCCCCATCCGGGCAACCAGGGTGTTCCGCTCGGACGCAATTAAGCTAACTTAGCTCACGTGCATGCAAAGTTAAGACAACCTCAGTAAATTTTAATGTTTGCCAAGTTTTATTGAAATCGGTTACCGGAAAGTGCGCGAAAACGGATTCAGCTCCTAGTTTGCCCTTAGAGGTGGAATATTTTCTTCAAATTTAAATGGGACCAATTATAAGGTGCCCTCTTTCCAACAAAAAAAGGAATACGGTAGAATTGAGAACCTCTTCCTTTTTTGAAGTCAGTTAAAAAACAATAAAAACAGATGCGACGACGAGCAGAGTGAGGAGTATTAAACGGGAAAGCACATTAATAAATCTTATATAGACCTGATACTTCCCCTCGGTTAGGTTAGAAGTTTTTTGATATGCAATAAATAATATTTCTTTTAAAGTTTTAGTCAAAAACTTAACTAGACACCATACCAATATACCATACCATGTATCTATGTAACAAATGTTCCTGAATCAAAATTTTACTGAACGGTTATCTTCCTTTTTCTTCTGTAACTACAGCAAACAAAGAAACTAATCAGCGTTTCTAGATAATCAAAAAAAATAAATTCGGTTTATCGGTCACTTGCCTTCTGGGTTATCGATTTTACAAATTTATACACTAAATTAAATTGAATTCAAAGTACATACGTATAATCAAGAATTATAAAAACTGAGTCTTCACCTAATAATTGTCTCAGTGCAGAGTACAAAAAGCCACCTCAAAAGTCCTTAATCCCCTAGTTTGCCACCCACCTCTAAAGGTGGAATATTTTCTTCAAATTTAAATAGGACCACTTCTGAAGGACCCTCTTTCCAACAAAAAAGAATCATCAAAATCGGTTAACAAATATAAATATAAAAATGAAATAAAAATTTATCGCGTAACATACAAACAAAAAAATACAGCCGAATTGAGAACCTCTTTTTTTCCAGTCGGTTAAAAAGTAGCGCGTAGCGTATATACTGTCTTCACACATGTCTGTGGTCTTCACACAATAATGTTGGCCGATTCGCTCACTCTCTTAAGAAAAGACCAATGCACAGACTATTAGAGACCAATGTGTTTTACGTATCACCAGAGAACAAACAAGTAAGTAGTGACTTTTTACTATCTCATAGATGTAATAAGACGAAAAATCCACACCTTATTTGTTAGTAGCGACACCTGGCGAGCAGACCTCGTAACACTACGGCGCGATATACTAGGTCCCATCAAGTAGTACTTGTTAAACTCGCTAGGTGGCGGTATTAATATCGGTAGTTGCACAAACTAAAAATACAAGATGGGTAGTTGGTTCATGTTCATATTGAGATCGCCCAAAGGAAGCGCTGACAACGTATAAACGACGATCCATAATGTAAAAACCCTTTTTTTCTGCTTCATCTCGGGCTCAACACAATACTTGAAACACATCTCAGCGGTTTTATTCCAAATTCTTCAATCCAGAATTTACACTATTCACAACAAACAGAAAGTCTCTGCATAGCGCAAAACGCATTTATATTGAACTCGGAGTTTTCAAAGCATGTGTGCCTAATTGCAGAAATTTCTAAACTGGACCCCTGATGCCGCAAGGTCGTTGTGCGAAAAAGCCTAAATGGCTAATTGTAGCAGAGTATAATAACAAAACAAATATGGACTACGGACGCACACATTCGCTTAATTAAAATAAAAAAAAATTTAAACTAAACACCCTGGAAGTTAGACGTAAACGATCCGAAATTCTTACACTTTACAAAATTATTCACTCTAAAATCGATTCCCCTGTTCTTCTTTCTTTAATCAACTTCAACATTATCTACCGCTTCCGTAATCCTAGGACCTTTAATTTGTGCGTGTACAGCAACAATACCTCCTTCTTTAACCCCATCACCCGTATGTGTCGGGGGTACAATGACCTCACAGCTGTCAATTCTGTAATTGACATTTTCAACAGTCGCTATTATAAGTTCCATAGCGATATCTGTAAAATGGTTGGATGATATTGTCGTGGTTGTTGCAGTTTCACTTTTATTTTATTTTATTTTATTTTATATATTGTATCTATCTTTTGTTTTATTTTATTTTTTTATATTACATGTACTTAGTCACTTATCTGGTTGTACAAGTTGTTAGTGTGTTAGTTGTTTGTGTAGTTTAAGTATTCCTTTAAATTCATAATTTGTTATTTACTGGATGTTAACATTTTAAGAACTAACTTTGTATACATATCTGTGGACTACTGTCTGAACTCCCCTTGTTAACCTAAATTACGTGTAATCAATGACTTTAGTCTGTAATGTATGCTTAATAAAAATAAATAAATAAAATAAATAAATAAATAAATGTCATGGTACACTCGCGTTACATTGTGCGTCTGTCGTCACACGCGTCTTTTTTTTTGTATGTATGTTACGCGATAACTCACGCATTTGTGAACCGATGGTCCCATTTAAATTTGAAGAAAATATTTCACCTCTAAGGGTGGCAAAATAGGGGATGAATCCTGTTTCGCGCACTTTCCGGTAATCGATTTCAATAAAACTTGGCGAATAGGTGTAATTTCAATGAGTAGGTACTGAGATTATTGTTACTTAAAATCTCGTACCCGTTTTTCTCGCACCTATTCTAGTATCCAGTACCTATTTATAACTAATGAATAAATAAATTACAGTACTCAGCTTTGAGTACATCATTAGCATCGTTTGCATAAAATATTATTGGACACTGAAGGTAAAATTGTGCAATTGCTGAAGTTATTAAATTTAAACTCTCCTGTATTTATTTCTTACGTCTTTTTTATTACAGTTACAGACGGCAACTTATTATTAGAAGCTGTTTACACCGAACACCATTTGGTATATTTGCTAATCTGTGATTTCAGTTTGTATTTCCCCAAACGCAGAGTTAGATCGTAAACAAAACACTAAATATGTTTTTGATGTCAATACCTAGAATGTTTCTGTACATAAAATGTAGAATACTTATACAATTCATAATGGTTAGATTAACTTATTTTTTCCCGTCTCTGTACCGCATTCGCACTTTGACTCCCTACATAATCAAAACTTCACTATTCTTTTTGGTATACTTGTCGTTGTTAGAATCGTCGTTTTCTATTAATATTACCATTGTTGAAGATCCTTCTCTTTCAACCCGGTTTTCGCTAATGCCCTTAAATTTCTCCCGTTACTCAAACCACTCCGTTTTAAGATTTTTATTTTTTTATTTGACGTTTTATCAGATGACCTCCGTGGTCGAGTGGCTTGCATACCGGTTTTCCTAGGTCGAAAATTCCTTTGAAAATTCACTTCATATGAATTGAAATATCGCTGCATAGGTCATCGCTATACTATATCTACGTTTTCATCCATCGGTAGAGACCTTCTTAAAATAGCTGGTAATGTTCTTTTACCGCGTACACCCACACGCACTCGCATTAAGACATTCACCTAGTCGGTATTGGAAATTTAAACCCAACGAAACCAACATAAAGTTGAATCAATGTTGATTATTTGTACCGTACACACATCGCCAACACGTGTAATTTTGTTTGGGATTCCGAGAACTAATAGTGCAGAATGTTGTACACAAAGGCCCGACGCATTTTCCTTATTGTCAACGTATCGTTTATCAGAGTTCGAACTCCACAGTTATCATCATCGAGGTTAAGTTTGTTTGTAAACAAGTGTGCGAAGGAGTGAGAAAATAAATGTTACGTCTTCTTGGACTAAAAATACGTATGTAAATGTATTTATAAGAAGATACGTTCGGAATGTCTGCGGAGCATTAGTCTCAATTAGCGTTATAATTGTTTTAGATCTTATGTCATTACATTACCTACTAATTATAATGAATTTCATTCGTTAAATAAGGGAACTAATAACTTGTGAGTTCATAGAATAATAAATAGTGTTGTAGTTTTTTCCTGCGACTGTTTAATGATTTCATTGCTCATGAAACTTTTAATGTCAGGTATTTGAATAGAATATAATAGACATTTATTGCAACGCCACAACACATAGTTACAAAAAAATTTTATAAACACATAGACAAACAAAATAAAATAAAAATAATTAAAAACAAAACAGAAAATACAAAAAACAATATAACATTAAACAGAATAGACAAAAATAGCAAAAAAAAAAACTAATTATAACGACTAGAAATAAAACTTGAAAAATGTGGGAAGACCCCAACAGACGGAGGCTTAAATCCTCACCGCAGAGGAGACCCGTACCTTTTTTTTTTGCTAGTGGAAGGGAATGGTTTATGCATAGCCTCGAGCTTGAGGACGCGAGCAAGGGTTATGTGGGACTAACCCTTCATAGAGGGCATACCTACTAAAATCTCCTGCTTACCCTCTTGGCCAGGTGTTGTGGGTGCCGTGCGACTCCATTTATTGTGCGTCGGCAGATTCACCATTACGACACCCCTCCACTGGCCACCTCGGTTTTCACCAAAGTTCTCGCGCTTGAGAAAGGAGGGTCGCTTCACTCGACCCATCCCCCCAGACGGACGAGACCGTGAAATGCGGGCAGGGGATCCCCGTCCCCTCAGGAGACGTACGTAGCAGTGGGACGTATAAGGAGTTAATGAAATGATGATTAAGTTAAACGAAAATATCTACGTATAATTATTGTACATTTTATTTCTTACACAAGCATAAATTACAATATAAATATCTTATGGCACAATGAGTTTTGTCTCTAAAAGTATAGTGAGTTATAGTTAGTAGTTATTAGGTACTATATATCACATAGAGAGGTTTTCGATTATATTCTAGACAGGACCTTTTTTTTCTAGATTTATTTCAGGTGTAAAATATTTGCCCTCCGTCCATTTGAATCCCCTGCTACAATAACCTGGGGAACTTATGTCGATTTTTTGTCCACACGGATACCCTGGGGGATTAATTTGGATTAATCCATGATTTCTCGCTTCCTTGAATTTACCATACGTTTTCCCAACCATGAACAGGACGAGGCTGTATATAACTGTGAACAAGATGAAAAATTAATAAAGGCAGCAGTAGATTGTAATGAAAATGTTTTTCACAAATTCAATAGAAAGACCAAAATGGTTGTCACGAATAGAACCATCTATTTATAGAGTACCTATAACTTTCAATCCAGGTGGGATTTCTTATGTAAGGACCGAGGAAACCTGTATTGAAAATTAATTAAGTAGTGGGCCTCGGTTCAGCATCCTGATTTTGATTCAAACCGGAATCTCGTCTCGAAGTCAGACGGGTTTACTGAACGAGAAGATGAACCTGATTCCTACTATAAGTATCTTTCTAATTTGTGAGTTAAATCAACTGTTGTTCCGATTAGAAATGTCAAAAGTTTCCGACCGGCCAGTTGTGAATTCTGCTTATCGGTATTTTACAGGATATATCACGGAGAGTGTGCGATGGAATTACACGATTTGATTCCGCCTTCCCCTTTCCATCACCGGGGGACTAGGCGTAGGCTTGGCTTCCACCCCTATGTTGTGGATATTCCAAAGATTCGCAGGAAGCGTTACGCATCCACATTTATATGGCGAACGGCTATGGAGTGGAATTCCCTGCCTGCAGACTTGTTCCCTGAACGTTATAACTTGGACCTTTTCAAAGCGAGAGTGAATAGGCATTATCTAGGTGTACATGCTCCATCGTCGACCTCATCGTCACGTCAAGTCAAGTCAATTTCCATGAGATGGAGGTCAAATACACACTTACATTAGAAAAAAAAGAAAAGCATCGCAATTATGCGCCTCGACTCGAAAAAGCCGCAGTTTCCGATCGGGAGGCAATCAAAATCAAGCTGCAGGACGTACTGAGCATTTCCGCCAAAAGCGTGCTGTAGGTGAAAAATCTGTGCGCGCTGCTACACTTTAACCCGTTCATGAACAGTAACGGCATTTACAGAAAGTTAATAATAATTAATCAGAATGTGGTAATACGGGGAATCCTGGTTAAACTGAAGGCGAAAAAAAACCAGTTGTTAATATACTTTGTTTATGTAATACATCACAAATTGTGTGTGACTTTATCAAGTTTTAAACTTTATATAAGAACAAAATCTATTTTCCCCCTAAGCATTAAAAAAATCTAAATTATTTCATGAGTAAGCATGTTACACTTGAAATCGTCACATCGGTTAAACTTTACCGCTCATTCGTAAGGCAGATTCCCCTGAGAAGAATGAGCAAGAAACTAGGGGTTGCTCTTTGTAAATATAGGTATATTTGAATACATTTATCATTTGCAATATTTCTTCAAACATCTTAGATCGGGAATACCTGCACAAGCTAAATGGGTCACTATTACGGATTTTTGTCATCCAAGTACTCAGAAGTAGTATAATAATAACCTTTAATATAAAGGTTATTATTATTTTAAAGGTTATTATTATTGTTATTATTAATTTAATAAAAATTTTTGTATCAACCGGAATCTTGTTACATAGCCCCTTAAATGAATTTGTGACTTCGTGAAGACGACTATCGATAACGGCCAGTTTATTTTTATTCCTCCTATTAATGTTTTCTGTGACTATCTTTCATAAATAAGTTACTGTTCTGCTTAACATAAATTACCGTTTCATAAACGTATCGTGACGCTAGTATAAGAATGTCAATTTCCTTAAACTTAGCTCTCAAAGAAAGGTACTCTGCATCATTCCGAAGAGTACCTACATATCATACGTATACATTTAGGTTTTCGTTAAATTTCTCATCAACCCTTCAACTACACAGCTATCGCCTTGAATATGTGGTAATGGGTTTATTTGTTTGTAATAAACAAAAAAGAAGATCAAAATTAGCAGCTTTAGAGAGGTCAATCAAAGAGCTGGCTATGAACCGTGAAGAGTGGACGAGGCTACACTGACAAGAGCCTGGCTCTTAAATAGGATGATGATGTTTATTTTACATACCACAAACGAGTAAAACTCCTGCAAATGCCGGTGGGTACGCGCAAACGTCCTCGAACAATAAAGAGCATAGAGAAGGGACAAATGTCATCAAGAATGAGCTAACAGTGCTAAGCAATATCACCACGACGCCGTAGATAATGTATGCGCGTAAAAACTTCGGCTTTTCCTGAAATGAAAAATATATATTCAGTTCTTAAAACACACTTGTTTATAGGAAATGAAATTTGATTTCTTTTTTCCCTATGTTTTCAATGACTATTGGAATGGTCATTCATCACTTTTTTTAATAAATAATTCTTGATGCATATACGCGCGAGATTTGCACGCGGAGTAACCACTTGTCAGTAGAGTCGTACAATATACTGGCTCAATAGAAAATGAGTAGTAGAGAGTTATTCTTGTGCGTACTTACATTGTTAACTCCAACAAACAAGATGACAGCAAATATTAATGCAATTGTAGGTGCAAGCAGTAACAGGGCCAGGAATATTGCGGCATTCATGTCGAAAATTTGGATTACGATAAACAAAAATATATAAAATATTGCAACACCATATGCGACCACGGAAGACAAAGCTACTAAGACCTGAAAAATATTAAAAAATAAATAAAAATCCGTAGGTACATTCCATTACAGGGCTCCAAAGGTTGATATCATAGTCCACCACCACCAGTATGGCTTCGAAGAGCATTTGCTCCTTTCTTTCGTCATCATGTTTTCCTTCATGTCATATATATAGACTTTTTTTATACCAAGCGACGGGACGAAGAAGTCGTGCGTCTGGTGGTAAGCGACACGCTTGTCCATAACAATTGCAGTGCCATTCAGAGCTTTAAATCGCAAATGTCTTATGGGCACTGCCACTGCGCCACCTTTTGAGACATAAGTTGACAAGTCCCATGTGCCTGTAATTTCCACCAGCATCAGCACCCTTATTCTTCAAAACCGAAACACAGTACCTCTCACATACCTTACCTAAAAGTAGGTAAAGTGCCAGCAGCTATTTCCCTAGACAAACTCTTTCACAAGGCAGCTCAGCTCTGCAGCTACAAAGACTTCCTTTGAATTCGTCATTGTCGGATAAAAAACATAATAAAACTTAAACTAAAATTTTTAAAAACCGGGATAAAATACTCTATTCCATAAAGTCACCATCTGTTAGCCAATAACTTGTGGAGGCCAATTCAAATGAGCCCAAACATATTCTACTGTAAGTGCTTGAGGAGCTGGGTGGTCTGCAGACCGTCCCGGTTGCAGCATCAGATGGAGGTTACCATATCTTTGACTGTTATCATGCTGTTCTGCGACGCAGAGGTCCTGGGTTCGACTCCTGGGCCGGGAAAAATATTTATATGGCCGACATTTACTTCTCTCGTAAGTTTGGGTGTAATTTGTGGATGTCTATGTGTGTCCATGGCAACCGCGATACAGGGTCTTCCTAGTACAATTTTAGTTTATTATATTATTGAATGTCGTCGAATTCCCTTAGTATACCAAATTTTAAGGCATTGACCTAGACAGCTTAAAAAACATTGAGTCTTCAAACGAAAAATGCGAGTTGAACGAACATTTTGAAATTGTATAATACGTAACAGATATTTTTAAAGAAAAATTCTAACCAAGTTGAAATAAGCGAAGATTTTAGTTCCAAATTCGGGCGCGAGACGACTTTTGTCATACATGATTTTTGTCGACAATTTATGAAACCTGCAAATAAATTAAATATTTTTAACAGAAATTGGTTTTCAAAAATATTTAAAAAAAAAAGAAATTAAAAAGTTATAACAATTCGACTAAATAAAAAATTATTAACAACGTAATGATATGATACTAAATTTTGAAAGACAAAAATGGTTACTGCTCGTTGTCCTTAGGAGATGGACAAATGTAATCTAAATAAATAATCACACCAAAAAAATGTACCCTTGTCACTCTATTTTGATTGATTTTTTATAGCCTATGACACTCCCATAATCAAGACGGATCTAACGACACACCGTATATCAAAATCCTTCAACCCGTATAGGCTGTAGAACGTGACATGGTAATGGACATACATATATTCGAAAAACATAACCCTCCTTCTGACGCAGTCGGGTAATAATAAAGTTTTTCTTTTAATTTTATAACTAAGTAAGTATGGTGCCTATGCAAAGTACCTATTAAATAATCAAAACATATTGTGAAAACACAATACATACTAGTGGAATAGTAGTCTGTACAACAGAAAAATTAGTATCTTCTACTCCAGTAGCTTAATCTATCAATTGTAATCTCATAATTATTTATATCTTATAGGCGCTCTTTTTAGTTCTGAATCAAAATTCTATTGTCTGTGGTACTCACCAGAGAGCTGAAAATTTTCATTAAAGTTTCGTACACAGAACTATAATGAACAATAAAGTACTGGACACAGGAATTTAATGAGTTTCAAAAAGGAACGTCGCGTTTTTGCTATTTAAAATACCAATTAGGACGCTACTCAAACGCTATACTGACCCCTGATAGGTTTGGCGTAAAACCAGGCCATTTATATGTATAAAAAACATTATTAGCTTAGAATAATAACGCAATTATTAGTTAAAAATATAAGCGGTACTTGGCCACTTTTATTCTCTTTGGTTTTTGTTTTAAAGCGTTTGTTTAGCTTTCGTCTTCATATATGAAGAGGCTGTGTGGTGGAACCTTTGCCTACCTTTATAAATGGGTTAAAACTTAGAATAATAACGCATAGAAACCTAGTCCGCACACGCTAAGTGAGGCAAATTGAACCGCTCCCAATGGGCCTACACGAGCGGGCGGGCCTTCAGTGCTCAGGGTCAACTTGCACCGCGAACATCTCAAAAATTTTAGCTAAAAATTACGAAATGTGCGGTAAATTAGTTTAAAAATACGTCAGACAAACATAAAATAGATACTAACATTACATTCCACAAGGAAGTAACGCATTTCAACTTTTTTTTATATATAAATATTCACTAAAACCGAAATATAACCTACTACTAAAACTAGCCTACATGAATTTGATTTTTGCCTCACTTGTGACAGTTCGTCTGATATGAAACTATCATTCTATGTGTTATTATTCTAAGGGTTAACATTTATTTTAAATAAATGCATTTGTTGTCATGGACTGTTAGCAAAATATACATAAATATTGGTTCTATTTCATTATTTTATTTAGTCGTACAAAAAGTATTATATGCAATCATCACATAATTAGGTCTTAAAATCTCGTACCTATTATTTAGGCCATAATAATAAACAGGCATAAACACAGAGCTCGACTTTAAGGGTCGTACATATTTAAAGCACTAGAAATCATACTCAAGTCCTGACTTGAGCATTGAGTAGAGTTCTGGAATACGACCCTAAGAATCCTCATTATGCAACGATTGCATAAAATACTATTAATTGTAAAAAATGAAAACAGCATAATAATGCACATGAAACCGAATAGGTACTGCCGTAACGATTTGAAAATTCAAAAAATTACTGAACGTAACCAATATTTATTATGTTTTCGTTAAGAGTGGATAACTAAATATTATGTACTATATAAAATAATTACATTATGCGCAATAAGATATATTAATTAAATCGTGTTTTCTCAATTTCACAATATTGAGTGTAATGTGCTTTGGAGCAGTTTTATTGCTACCAGAATTTGTTACTTACTTTTGTACGGAAGAAAATAAAATGAAACCACTTTGAATGAATTAAAACACACACGACACGTCTGCTCTACAGACGTAGGGTAAATATTATAAAAATAGTCTTCCGTGCCAAACCTTCTTATTACAGTGTCGCCAGTATGACGTCGTGCATACATTGACCGTGTATATATATTATTTTCTCTTTCAGGCACGTTGAATCACTTACTTCTAAGAGCCAAGATTGATTGATAATCTACATGATATACGTACGACCTGTGCATAATACTTCTATGACAAGAGTTTGCAGTTAATTCAGAAAGCATTGTTGTCAACAGAAACACAACCGTTCCGAAAATAAGAAAAGAGAGTAGGAACTAATAAAAATTATCGCAATAGGTAGAAAGATCGGTAGCGCCTATCTCTCTCTCCTATTCGTCTTGTCTGTTGCGTCATTGCGGACATGGGCAGGGATCGGAATAGGTAGAGTTTTTTTACCTAAACTTCAAGGAACATAGGCAGAAAATGGAGACTGCCTTACGACAATATTTTTTATTCAGAAACTTACAATAACTCTGTTGTCGACCGAGTCGATATCGTAGATATCGTACGATTTCTTTTCATTTTTATTCACAATAACCGAATCGAACGTCAAACTGTCGTATTCGAAACCGAACCGAAATGACGTCACACCCGTACGATTACTAGATTTTTCGTATAATCCATATGTGCCGACTAACTCCATAAACGTTGTTAGATAAAGACATCGTACGTTTAACTCGAATGTTCTGAATAGCTCGGAAAGCGCCCTTCGATTCGAGAGCGATATCCAACCGAACGATTTCGTTAAGATATGGAAGAGTTTTGAATCGGGGTCCTGAACCTTTTTGGGATTCGGGAAATCACTTAAGAACATTAAATGATGAAATTGATTCTATATAGAACGCCAGAGATTTTTCCTATTAAACTATTAGATTTATTTCAAAATATGATTATTATTCTCGAGAAGCTCGCACATTCCGCGGCAGATTTTGGCTCGTATCTAGTTTGTACGAAACACAATTGACCATAAAGTTCATTATACTACATACAATATCGTTACAAAAATTCGCTTCCATTCAGTTCCGCCGCAATATAAATTGAGCCTAAGGAATTTATTATATACATTTATACTTGTGTAAGAAATAAAATGTATAAACAATTATACATAGATTATCGTTTAATTTAATCATTTCATTAACTCCTTATACGTCTCACTGCTACGCACTGCTACCCGTCTGGGGCACAAATTAGAAAGGTATGTCTGGGGGGATGGGTCAAGTGAGCCGTTTCTCCGCTCTCTAGCGCGGGAATCCTGGTGGAAACCGGGCTGGCCGGGGGCGTCGCGTCCTAGTGGTGAATCTGCGAGACGCACTGCGCCCACAACACCTGGTCAAGAGGGTAAGCCGGGAGGGTTTTAGTGGGTATGCCCTCCACCTGCAGGGTTAGTCCCGCAAAACCCTTGAGCCTCCTCGTGCTCGAGGCTATGCTTGCATTTCCCCCGTAAACAAAAAAAGACACGTGGCTCGTCTGCGGTGAGGCTTTCTGCCTCCGCTGCGTTGACCGAATGCGAGTTGGGATCTTTACACATTTTCTAAGATTTGTTAACTTTCCTCGACGTGTAGGTTACATCACGTCACATGTTTTCCTGCATCCGTTAAACGAGAGGTATTACTACTAAACATCCGCAAATGAATCCGAAATAAATTAAAAAATAAAATAACAAAGAAACATACATAGAAAACACATGTATTCAAGGACCCCGAATAATAAATATCGGGGGGATGGTAGGAAAATATTTTTTTTTTAAATTCAAAATAAATGCCATAGGTGCACGCTGTCACAAGGATTCGAAATCTGCATTTCAGAAGCAATCGTTATCGCGCTAGGCTAACACTGCCCATTTAATTTGACATATATAATGTTTGACAAACACTCATTGACTTCTTTTTCATGATATCAAGTGAAGGGACGAACGAACAAGTCGTGGGCTTGGTGCTTAGCGGCACGCCTATCCATAACAGTTGCACTGACACTCACAGCTCTAAACCGCAAAAACCTGAGACGCAGTGCCACTCTAACATATAAAGTTGACAAATTTTCGTGTGTCTATAGTTTCACCAATACCCTTCAAAACAGGAACTCAATAATGATCACTTTACTGCTCAACAGCAGAAATAATTAAGTTGCAGTGCTTCCCAGGACGAAGTAAAACTATAGAAAACCTTGTACTAAACAACAAAACAGGATATACTTTCGAGATAAGCCCTTGTCACCAAGTCAGAATCTGATGAGGGGAACCTATGGAAATCGAGGAAAATACTCAAATGTTATAGGCATGTGCAGTGTGTTTGTTGAATTCTCACAAATCAAAGGTCGTCTTCATCTTTCCATTTGTCGTAATCATGTCACAGGACAATCAAATACAACACCTGATATTGGTAACTGCTTGTGAACAATATACAGCAGCTACCTTGTGTTTGGGCTCAAATTATTCGTTTTGACGAGAGCTTCCAAAGTATGCCTTTCAGTTATCATTAAGGAGAGAGGGAGGGATTGATCACCCATTGGGTTTGATACTAGCACATAAATACCTATGTCTGGGTGCATCGGCATGATATGTCCGGGTCACTCATAATTTAGTTTTTTAGCTTGTTATTTTAAAGAACCAACGCCAACTTTCCCGGTCTAGGGGCGCCCGCACCCAGCCACTGCTGGCCACCTTGTTCAGGTCGTCCGTCCATCTTGCTGCAGGGCGTCCCACAATGGTCCCACACTAGGTTTTTCTTGACGTGGTCGCCATTCCAGAACAAGTCTGCTCCAGTAGACATGCCCGGCCCACTGCTACTTAAGCTTACTGGTTTTGCGAGCTATGTCGGTCACTTTAGTTCTCTGAAATATCTCTGGAATCTGCACGGATTAGGCAAATTAAATAAAACAACAATTTTCAATTGAAAATTTATACATAAATAGCAAAATGTCAGAAAAAAATATATGTGTATTAAATACATGTAATTATATATGTATGGCCAAATTTAATAAACAATTTAGGCAGGTGGTGGCGCCAGTAACTGACAAGCACCAGTGTTCGTCATCTTTTTAACCGACTTCAATATAAGGAGGAGGTTCAAAATTCGATTGTATGGTTTTTTATATAAGTATGTTACGCGATAACTCGGCATTTGTGAACCGATTTCGATGATTCTTCTTGTGTTGGAAAGAGGCTACCTCAGATGTGGTCCCATTTAAATTTGAAGAAATTATTCCACCTCTAAGGGTAAACTAGGGGATGAATGACTTTTGAGGTCGGTTTTTTAGTACACTGTACTGATTTTTAAAATCATTTCTTATTAGAAAATTTTTGTCTCAAATCTTATTAGATTTAAGACAAAATTTTGTATCATAGTAACACGTTTCTTGTGGTAAGTATCAATTACTGGGTGTGCTTTATTGGTGAGTGTCCATTACTGGTTAGTTAATCAGTGGAGTTTTGGTGTTCATTACTGGAGATACAGAAAAAATCTAGTCTAGGGATTTTTTAGTAATAATTATAAAAATAATTATAACAGCTTTTTTATGAAACTTTTAATTAAAATAACACGTTTAATTAACATTCTCTTAGAGATAAATTGATCTCTATTCTACTTACTTAAGTGTGGCCGATACATTGAGTGTATGACCAGGTATAGACACGAAATGTCATTTAATTTGTTTGAAAACTATTCTGCCCTAAGATTCTGCCAAATCATTACTGTGACAACTGCGCTCCGATTGGTCAGCCCGAATTCGAAGCAATTGACGGGTGTTAATTTAATATTTGTATTATCCATAAATATTAAATATTATTATCCATTTAATAATATATCCGTTTATTTTGTAACTAGATGTGTTGCTGTTTTTCCCACACCACCGCATGGAACCCCATTGTTAGAGATATCATCTTTATTACAATAAATCCAGAATATTTTTGGAATATACAGAGACGTACACACAGGTCAGTTGTTGGCGCTATACTATATCAGTTTTCTAATTTGTAATTTCAGCGCAATCGAAGTTTATATTTAAAAGCGATATAAGGCCCATTTACCTAATGAATTGCCAGGGATTTTTCTTTTCTGGTTATATACTCGATGTATCGCAATTACAAACATGAATTTTGTAAACAACAGGTACTTTTAAATAAAGACAGACGATTCGAGACACTAAATGATGTAAGTACCAAGATTATGAATTCGGCACACACAATAGTAAGTTTTAATGTCAGAATGTTAAGAAACACTTCATTATAATCATGCCTATCTGTCTAAGTAATCATTAATCAAAGAGAAAGTAAAAAAAAATTGAGATTCTTGTTGGCCTGCACGGTGTCCCATCCCAGAGCGTATGTATTTAAAATTAGGCATAGACAACAACTATATACACATAAATAAAACAATCTCGACTTCCCGTAAATTTTAAAGGCGCCATTTAAAAGTTTGTGATATTGAACACCTGTACTGCTTTAAACGAGTATTTATAAATAACGAAAATGTATAAATTGGTAAACTATGAATAAGTATTAGTCACAATTAAATCAGCCAGTAATGACTTTTTTTTTAATATTACCTACTATTCAAGAGAGAATACGGCAAAATAAAATATTAAAACGTACTCGATACATATTTTTGCTGCAACGTTGGTAAAGCTGCGCCGTGATTTTCACCTTTATGGATCATTCATGCATGACAGGATGCTCTCGCTAAACTTTATTTTGCACCTTACCACCCTCAATTAGCAATTATAGTCTGATGGGGTAAGAGTACCAGCCATCGTACTTCTTAGATACCTAAGTGTTCTCAAGATTTCACAACAAGTATGGAATTTGTTTTTCCTCCTTTTGAATTCGTAGCATCGTAGCGACATCTACCAGTTCAATAGTTAGTTTCAATACGTCACACGGGCTCGCCGTCGATCTACTACAAATTAGACCATGAAAAACTGCTCCACTTCAAAAGAGTGTAATTGTATAACTTGGAATGTCTACAACAAATTTCCACGAGAAGTTAGAAATTGCAAGAATTATGCATAACTTAAGAAATTGTTATTTAATTACCTCAATGATTGATGACGGAGATTTTTAATAAAATTTACTGTGTTCTTATTTTTTTAATTCCACAAACGTAATAAATGTCATCATATTTTATCGGACTGCGTGACAAACGAATCTATGAAAACTTTATAAGCCGCGAGGCGGATCACAGTGATTCAAAATGCATTTCTTTTAACTAATTCATGTCCTGTACATCACAAAGAAATAAATTATTGTATATGAATAGTTCTTCAGCAGTCCTTTTTACTCACTCACTCTTGTTCCATACTGTGCAAGAGTTAAATATACTAACATTGACTTACAATTATATGGACGTCTGGGCCGCGCTAAAAAGTGTCCGAACTTATAGGACGTTAAAATCGTATACAGAGCGTCATTCACGCTTTAGTCTTCGTTTGTTCGACTGACAGCGAAGCAAGCGAAATTAGACAGTACTGCGATGACATTACAATTTAAATTAAACGTTTTAGCTTTTTCATATTCCTTTACATGTCACTACGTTTAAATAGGTTGACTTGGGACATTTTTTTCGTGGTTTTTGTATTAGACCCGTCGTCCATTTATTTGTAAGTCAATGTATACTAAACACAAATTATCTATACTTTTATTTCAACTATTGAATTATTGACTCTTCGACGTAGGTATCTACTAGAATCGGACAATATCACTAATTCTAAAATTCGTTCAAACGCGATTACTTAATACCTGCTTGCAAATTTTTTTACAATATCGAACCTGCAATAGTAAACAATACCAAGCCCAGATTTTTAGTCGGAAACAAAGCAAGCAAATACAATTATTTTAAGATCAAAATTCATCACATCGACGATTATTTCTTTGGTTAAAACCAGATATTTCTTAAGCCTTTTCTTCGAGATCCTTGTGCTCCAACTGGCTGTGCAGCGTTTCATATTTCCGGTATGTCTTCCTGATCATCAATAGGATCAAAGAGTAGAGTACTGTGGACAAAACAACTTACTCAGTACTTCATTCATTTACAAACAATTTCAAACACTCGTAAACCCACCCGGTTTGATTCTGAAACTGTTCTATGACGTTTTTCTATGGGGTCGATTTTCATGAACTTATCACGACTGAAGGTATCCCAAAAAGACTATAAATTAAGCTGCGGAATGTCGATCCCCTACCGAAGCGCTACAGTCTTTCTAATATTTCTATTTTTTTCTTATTTCACCGTTTTTTTATATTCATTCAAGATGTTAATTATATCATACAGACAACACTACACCTTAATTAAATTGCTCGCTCCGCTTGCTGCGTTTCGACCAATTTTCTAAGTTAGACAACATACTCTGTTCGTATAAACTTTTTTTTATTTCTGACAACAAAGGTAGTAGGTACGTCTTGACGACGACCTAAATACCAAAACGTTATGTGTATAATGTTGTGGTATATGTATATGGAAACATTTAATTGGCATCTAGTTGATCATATTTAAATCTATCCTGTAAAAGTAGTTGTAAGGGTAATGAAATCTTATAAAACAAAAGTTGAGTATCAAAGTATTTTTGTCGAAATTTCTCTTCTTGGGGAAGGCCACATCTATGGAAATTATAAATACAAAATCGATAATATAGTAAGTTACAGAACCTAATACAATATCGGTATGAAAATATTTTGAGTGCTTTTCGTCTCTTATTTTTCTTTGGCTTTGTTTTATTGGTGTGAAGTAATAGATACGACAGATTCATGTCAAAACGGGTTTTAGTCGTACCACCTAATGGCTTTCATAATGCATTTAAACTCACCGCAAACAACGAAGGCCGAAACACTAATGATGAGTCCAATTACCGACATAGCACCCCCAAAGACGTTTGCAGACAACTGGGATAGCATCACCACAACTACTCCGTACACGAAGTACGCTTTAATGTATTCCGGCTTTTGCTGAAAATAACAATAAATAGAATAAAAAATAAATAATAAAATAAAAATAATTCATTTCAGACAATGTAGTCCATACAAGTTAGTTAGTAACATGACACCTTAGAACTATGTAGTATTAGAATTAGTACTCAATTACAAAAATAATACCTAAATATAACAAACAGGACAAACCCAGCCGCCCAGGTGGTTCACTGACTCAAACGTAGAACATGCAACTGAACCTCCGTAACACAGCTGCATCCATCCTGTCTACTATCATCTCCAGGATCTCGTTGCTGCTACCCCTCAACCTTCGTACTAACGAAGTGGACATTTTGCCCATGATGGCATAGAAATTATCCATGCCAGCACCCGCAAACATGCCAGATACGCTACAAAAACGGGGAAGCTTCAACAAGGCCCTGAAGGTATTATTATACTGGACTCGCAAGGCGCCGTACGATCTCAGCGTAAAGTTGGACCATAGAGCACATGTGTAGAAGCTCTGGCATTATGCTCTAAAGAGTGTGGAGCTTCACTCCAGTCGTACACCTTGTGAATCTATGAGCCAACATATAGTTTCGAACCGACAACGCCCTGCGCTGAGTGATCATCCTTTAAGTCCTCTGTCACAATGTGTCCTAAGTACTTTAGGTACCGTGCAACACGCCTCAAAGGTATCCCATTCAAAAGTATTGGTGGTACATATGCTGGTTCTTTAATTTTACCCTTAAACAGCAAGAACTCACTCTTTTTCTCGTTGTACTTTAAACCGTGTTGTACAGTATAGGTCTCACAATGACCTATAAGTCGTCTACAATGGATATTAATTTTAGGTACTTCATGGTTTTACCAAGATTCACATTACTCTACGGGAATGTAGCTTCTACCTTATAGGTACTTTACCTTGCGTACACCACAGAAGAGAAGTACAGCAAAGACAAGACCCGTTGCAAAGAAAAACAACGAGATGATGGCAATGGCCATTTGAACCGACAGCAGTGGATCCGTTTGCTCCTCATCCGCCATGGGCAGGATTATTCTCAGGTATATCGACAGGTACAGAAACGCGATTAAAGATATTAGAGTTGAGACAATTACGAGGGCCTAGAAGAAAATTTTAGTTGTAATGAGTTAGTAAGTACTTATTTTGTATTCGAGATCTGATTTTAAAAATTAGAGGACACTCAATCTATTTCTTGGACACGCAAGACACTTTTTAAATACTCCAGGTGGCCGAATGTCAAAACATCAAATAGAAATATTTGTATGGGCTACATTTATTTCTCTCGTGAGTTTGGGTGTAATTTGTGGTTGTCTATGTGTGTGTCCATGGTACCGGCGACACAGGGTTTCCCTAGTGCGGGGCTATGTTGAGTGTTCAAATTCAAAATTCAAAATTCATTTATTCACTAGATAATAATTTTACAATGTCCGATGTTGGGGCTACTTGTAAGTAAAATTTACTTGTGTTAGAAGCCCCGCTCCTCAATGTTACATTTTTATTAACAGTAAATAAAGAATAAAAACAAAACAAAATACACTATGAACTAAGTTTAAGTGTGTGTGTGTGTGTGTGTGTGTGTGTGTGTGTGTGTGTGTGTGTGTTGTGTGTTGGTGTCTTTGAGTGCCTGTGTTGGTGTGTGTTGGTGTGTGTTTGAGTGCCTGTGTTTCTGTGTATTGGTGGGCGCACGTTTCTATGATGTGGTTGTTTACATATAAATGTATGGGGATAAGACAACTTAATTAGACTAATTAAGTAAATAATACAAATGAGTTATTCACCCATTTTTATTAGGGCCTCAATTTCATCATATGTCTTTATCCTAAGCCAATCACCTAATGCCTTTTTACATTCTCGGGAGGTTTTCGTATAAATATTTGCTGTCTTGTTAACAAGATTGTAAAGATAAGTGGAGAGTCCAACAAATAGTCTTTGGGCATAGGTGGTACGAACTCTAGTTACGGCAGCTACCTGATAATGGCGTCGTCTGTCGAGAAGTGCATGATTTAAATGCAAAGTTTTGTGGACACAGAGGATGGTGTGTAAAACATATAACTTCCTAACAGTCAGGACATTTGCTTGTTGATAGAGAACCTCTGTGGAGAATTTGTAGGGTTTAAAATAAATAACTTTCAACAAGGATCGCTGAGCCTTTTCTAAGTACAAGAAGTTCGTTTTACTTGCTCCGCCCCAAACTGGCAAGCAGTAGCTCATTACAGATTGCCCCAATGCTATATAAATGCTCCTAATAAGGCTTTTGTCTAATACATGCCTGAGTTTTTTAAATATCCATATAAGGTTTCTCACTCTAGCCGTTACCAGTTCTATATGCTGGTGCCACGATAATCGTTGGTCAACCACTATGCCCAAATATTTTGTAGACGCGACTTTTTCTATAGCTTCACAAGAACACGTATCGAGATTAGCACAGGTATGGATTTTAATTGTAAAATTGTTGTTGGGCTGAGTGGTACTGTTTATGGTGAAACAGATGTAATTGGTTTTTGTCATATTAAGAGTGAGCAAGTTTGAATTAAACCAGTTTGCTATTTTGCGAAGTCCCTTTTCTGCAGAGTTACGTACAGATTCCCACGAATGACCAGTGAACACAACTGCAGTGTCGTCAGCGTAGCAGAGGACGTGTCCATTTTCTAGTTTCATTTTACATAAACTATTAATGTAAATTAGAAACAGGGTCGGTCCCATAACGGATCCCTGTGGAACGCCAAAAATTACGTCCTCTTCCTCGCTGACGACGTCGCCTATTTTGACACGTTGTTTCCGGTCGTGAAGGTAGTCCCCAAAGAGCTGCAGTTGTGTACTTCTGATGCCAATTTCCTCAAGTCTGCGCACAAGGATAGGAATTGAAACGGTATCGAATGCATTTTTTAAATCTAGAAAAACGACAACGCATCTCCTTCCAGAGTCTACCTGGGTGACAATTCGTGAGGCAAGGGTCGATACTGCATCTTCTGTGGATACACCTTGGCGGAAACCGTACTGTGTACTTGATAGAATATCATTTCTATTCAAGTAGCTCACTAGTCTGGAGTTCATCAGCTTTTCAATTATTTTGGAAATAGCTGTTAGAACTGATATGGGTCTATAATTACAGGGAGTATTTTTGTCTCCACTCTTGTGCACTGGTGTTATAATGGCACACTTTAATGCTGGTGGGAAAATGCCTTGCTCAAAGCAGAGGTTAGCCAAGTGTGTAATAATAGGGACGACATGTTTTGAAGCCATTTTTAGAAATTTGGTAGGTATATTATCCCAGGTGCACTGTCGCCCTTAAGGTTCATAAGAGTGGAATAAACTTCTTGGCAGTCTGTATTTAAAAGAACAAAGGAGTTATTCATCAAACATGCATTTGGTTGTGAATTAGGGAGCCCAGTACAAATATTCTCGGCCAATGTTCTGCCTACGTTAGAAAAATAATTATTAACAAAATTAACTGATTCCATAGGCGAGGATTTAATTTGTAATAATTTTGAGCTAATACTTTTGTTCTTTTTGCGATTTGTGAAATTATCAATAGCACGCCATTGCTTTTTCGGATGTTTTTGAACATTATTGAATTTTTCCCTATCATATTTTCGTTTTAGTTGTTTAATACAATTTGTAACAAAGTTTCGGTATCTTCTATATGTAATTTTGAGTATATTATTATCATCATCTAAGTCCGTTCTCAACTTACTTTGCATATCGTTCCTATTTCTGATACATCTAAGTAGACCGAGGGTCATCCAAGGTTTTATTAGACGCACATTACATGGGATAGGCTTTAATATTGTGCTCTCTAACAAACATCTCTTTAGAGAATTTATCAAAAGTTCAGTTAATATAGTAGGGTTGGTTTGTAAAAGAAGTTCGTGTAGATTGCTATTTCGTACAAGAAGTAAAGCTTTGTCATAATTAATAGTTGTTTTTGTTTTGGGGCATAAGTTATTTCTGTTGATTATATTTGAAATTTTTAGAAAAATCATGTAATGGTCAGTTACTGTTGTGTCTAGAACGGCTACAGCAGCAGATACATTTGTCATATCCAACTTCAACATGTAATGATCCAAGCAGCTGCTCTTCCTGGTAGGTAATCTGTGGCCAGGTAGAATGCCACGCATTGCTAGCATGTTAAGGTACTTATTTCTGTTTTTAACTACATGTGAATGTTCGTCAACCTTAGGTATGAGGTTTATATTTAAATCCCCTGCAATAACAACGTTTTTAGCACTGGTTATAGTTGCGAGATGTTTGTCAAGAGAGTCAAGAAATTCAGCCGCATCTGTATTTGAAGGAGAGCGGTAGATTCCCAGAATAATTACGTTATTTACGGTAATTTGTAAACATGATGCTTGCTTTAGCATAATCTCTTCAACACTAGTCGAAAGGCAATTATTTACATAAAAGACTACTCCATCACATTTATTTATATGTTTTGTGGTAAAGAAACCAGTGTAGTTATCCATATGGGGAATTGATTTGTTGAGATTCAGACTACATTCAGTTAAAATTAAGACGTCTACTTTAGTCTGGAGTTTGGTCAATGTAGCCAGAAGGTCATCAAGGTTACAGTATATACTACAAATGTTTTGGGAAATAATTTTTAGATCTGCGTTACTTATGTTTATGTAATTTGAAATGTGTTCAATGGGACAAGCATAATTCTCCACTATTGCAAGTTCGTCTAATTCGTTTGAATTTATAAGATTGCTATCCATTTGAAATGATTATGTAGATGAGTGTTTCAGAAGGTAATTCAGTTCTACACAGTAGATGAGTGATGGCTCTATTTAATAAGCAGTTGATAACAGCAAACAAGAATAAGTGTGTCTGGTGTTTTATAAAGTTTTGTGTTTGTGTTTGTATCTGATGAAGTGTCAGTACTACATTTTTATATGATGTAAAGTATATTGTGTAAGTATGCGAAAAAATGTGGTTTATTTGTAATGGTTTCATAACGTGATTGAGTGTGTATGTGAGTTTTGGTTTATGTGTGTGTGCGTTATTATTATTAATTATGTGCGGCAAATTAGAGTATATAGTCCATTATTGCAGAGGCCGGAAAATAAGGGGTGGTTGGACGAGTATGAGTTACAAGGCCTTGTATTAACACGAGTCAAGCAATCCCCGTTCCCGCCGATGCATGTATAGAATTTTTCTCAAACAATGCGAGGAAATAATAAAATAGTAAAGAGAGGACGATGTATAATAGAAAGAGTTAAAAAGAAATTAATTAACATTAAAATGTATAAAATACAATTCCTAAAAGAAAATGTTATTATTGTTCCAGGCACATTAATAGTAGTCTGCTGAACTTCTGATGACGTATTGGAATGTATCTTATTACAGTATTTTCGTTATTGCTCTTCCCACTAGCACTCATTTTCGCGACTAAAATGCAAAAAAGACGAAAAAACAAAAGAATACCAAAACACTTTAGTTTAAGAGTTACCGCCATTTTTTTTAAGTAAGCGGTATAGGTAGATTTAGAAGTTTAGAGAGGTAGACAGTAATGGATTTAAAGAAGAGGGCGAGGACGGAGGAGGACGAGGACAATATTTTTATTTAGAGCTGGCTGATGATGGAAATTGCAAACAGATGAAAGGAAGTATTCAATAGTGTACAGCAGGATATACATATGCGTTTCAATTTTATTATTGTTGAGGAGACCGGGAGGTAACGAATACAGCGAAAGCGGTTTTAGGAGAAATGCCAAAAGGCAAATTTTTAAGGTTGGTTTTTTTCGTAAAAAAGTTTGTTTAGACTGTAATATCACTAGGTCTATTGTATTAAAGCGTTACTCCTCAAGACAAACTTAAAACGAGTAAAAAGCAAAATAGAAACATCAAAAAGTGCTTACCAAGTTGAAATAAGCAAAGATCTTTGTGCCGAATTCCACTGTGCAGCAAGACGTGGAATTCGTTTCGTTGGAATTGGTGGTGTCCATGGTGTTCCTGCAGATAACAAAGAAATATTGAATGTATACAAAAAAAAGCTGAGTCGCTGCTGTGCTTAATTTTGAAGTAAAAATCAGTACTAAAATGTTTCTCAAAAAGTTTACCATTAAGAAATCTTCGATTTGACATCTTTCCTACGACAGTTTACTGTTTTTACCAATTTTCATAATTGTAATAGTTATTTATTATACAAGGCCGTACAGCTGTTGTTTGACGCGAGTGAATTGAACCACGAGGGAAACAAGTGGGTTCAAAATAGAATCCTGAGCGTAGGGAGGGTTTCAGGGCACGAGACGCAAAACAACTTTGCTGCCGAGCGAAACACGCAACTTTTCACTTTACTATAACGAGGAAAGAAAAACAGTTGAAGTATAACAAAATAATTTAATAAACAAAATTAGTTATCGTTTATTGGTAGGTCAATGGTTATCGTGTCTACGATAACAAGAAAAAAATAATTGACAAATATAATTCAAGAATATTTTGAAGGTAAACTATTTTAGAATAAAATTGAAATCAACTATTATACAAGTACACAACTAATTCGAAGACTGTATATTATGTTATATATATAGATATATATATATATATACGTTTTGAAATTTTATTTAGCGTGAATTATAAAATAAAATTGTGTTACCGTTACAGTAAAACAAGATTGAAAATGATTGGGAAACATCGAAACAAAAGGAAAAGAGGTAATTTTTTGGCCCCATCGTTTTCGTTCAGTACCTACATTGACTTACAAATAAATGGACGACTGGTCTAATACAAAAACCACGAAAAAAATGTCCCAAGTCAACCTATTCGAAATTTAAATTGTAATGTCATCGCAGTATCGCGCTGTCAGTAGAACAAATGAAGACTAAAACGGAGTTTGGCGCTCTGTATACGATTTTAGCGCCTTACAAGTGCGGACACTTTTTAGCGCGGACCCGACGTCCATATAACTGTAAGTCAATGGTTCAGTATCTTAAATTTTTGACAGGTGTAAAACGTAGAAAAATATGGAAAAAATATAAGAAAAAAAAATATTTTTCAGAAAAACATTTTTTTTTTTCAAAATGGAATTTTTTCCATGACCCAACAATATTTTAAATTGCAATTGGTTATGTCTCTATGACTCTTCATAACAAAAACTTTTTGTTTCTAAGCAGTCTTCTTCCTCGTTTCTTGTAATAATTACCTACTTAAAATTATCAGCCATTTTTAAATGCACGCTATAGGTTTTATGGAATACAAAATTTGCAATAAATGTCTATTCTATTCTATTCTATTCTAAAACTAAAATAAACAAAAAACATTTACGTAACCAATTACGTTTCGGATAAACAGTACACAATCCATGAATTAGACGTCGATTATGGTTTTGCCAGTATGCAAAAAAGTTAACTGACCTTCCGCCAACAATGTCTATGTACTGTTTGCCATCCGCTGGGTAACCTAAATAACAACTTAGTATAAACTATTCTTATGCATTGTAATTTTCAAACAAAGTTATCTGTGCCTGCTATACAATCGTCACAACAGATATTATAATAGATATGAAACTCCAGTGTTACAAATTATTACGTTTTTTTTTTTTAATTTTCACCCATTTAAATGAGTAAGCCAGAAGGCTTACTTAAGAGACTGTATGGTAGAAACCATACAGTCTCTTCATAACAATATTAGTATGTCTTCCTTGTTTCACGTCCTTTGTCGTCAATGTTTTTTGCAATGGCGGCCTCTCGCCAGCATTCCGTAAATACTCTTTTTAACCGACTTCAAAAAAAGAGAATGTTCTCAATTCAACTGCATCTTTTTTTTGTATGTACGTTACGCGATAAATTTGTGAACCAACTTTGATGATTCTTCTTTTGTTGGAAAGAGGGTACCTCAGATGTGGTCCCATTTAAATTTGAAGAAAATGTTCCCTTCTAAGGGTAGCAAACTAGAGGATGAATGACTTTTGAGGTTGGTTTTTTTAGTACTCTGTACTGAGATTATTTATTCTCCTTTCGATGAAACTTATAATTCTCAATTAGCCAATTTAGAACTAATTTTTGAACAAAATACAATAAAATAATATCACGGTACTACTACTCGAATACCACCACTACCAAAATGTAGACAAAATACGTACTAATTCACTACCTACAAACCTTTTTTATATAATTTATATAATTTCAAGTGCCGGGTCGAACAAATCGTACGCTTGAAAGTAAGCTTCACGCCTGTCCATAACAGTTGCAGTGCCACTCCGAGCTTTAAGTCGCAAAGATCTGAGGGGCACTGCCACTGCGCCCATCACTCTGAGACTTGACATGTCCCAGGTGCCTGTAATTTCACCAGCAAACCCTTACCTATCAAAACTGGAACGCAGTAATGCTAACATTACTGCTTAGTGGCAAAAATAGATAAAAAGACAATACTTCCCGGGACGAACTCTTTCACAAAGAGCTCTACTGCTGCATCAATGAAATCGGCTAAAAGCTCTTACAATTCCTTTGATAAGAATTTTGACCCAAAGTATAAAAAATACAAATGCCTAACTATGACGTATATTTACAAAGAGATTAGTAAATAGCATACTCACGTTTAAGCAGCTGTAAAATCCAAACAAATCACTGATTCCAGTGAATAAATAGTATATTACCGTTCCACGCAACAGCAAGATTTCAAATAAACAAAACTTGCGGCGGCCAATAAGTATACATGAAAGTAGATATATACACTGGGGCCTTAGCGTAAGTTTTCAAATATGTAAACATAATATCGCGTTTGCGGTAAGATTTTAATTTAAACCTTATGAATGTATTATTAAGCTCTAAATAAACATGTTAACGTAAACGCGATATTTAATGTGAACGATTACAAATTTATGCTCAGGCCCCTGTTCGAACGTGCGTGCAAAGACTGACATCATGGGCTTGCCACACCCGCCGCAGCACACCGGCCTCGTTTGAACATACATGTTCGTTCTTCTGGAATCTACACTCACAGAACAAACAAAACAGAAAGCTTCGTTATATTTTTTAAAAGGAGGAGGTTGTCAATTCGACCATATTTTTTGTGTGTATGTAACGCGATTATTCCTGCATTTGTAAACCGATTTTGATGATCATTTTCTTGTTGGAAAGAGGCTATCTACCTTATTATTGGTCCCATTTAATTTCAAGAAAATATTCCACCTCTAAGCTAGGAGATGCATCCGATTTCGCGCACTTTCCGGTAACCGATTGTTATCTTTTTAGTTTCATTTTGGTAAACAAAGTTTGAAGTCGGTTACTTTTTTTTATAAAAATTATGTTCATATAAAAAACGTAGGTCCGGCTCTTGGATTTCATTACCTTGCATGTCTTGGGCATGTCTTTCTTTCTTCAGGGTGTCGGGCACAGTGGCAGCGCCTCTTAAAATCTTTGCGATTTAAAGCTCTGAGTGGTACTGCAACTGTTCTGGACAGGCGTGTGGCTTACCACCAGCCGCACGACTTGCGCGACCCATGACTTAGTATTATAAATAAAATTAAAAAATCTTTAAAAACCAAAGGAGTCCCCATACTCAGTAAAAGCTTTGCATGCCCACAATAAGAGCGAAAACGACGTTGCATGTTTCTATTCCACGACATGAAAGCACTACGTCTTTCTCTCTCTCATTATAATAATAATTCTTTATTGCACAAAGAAATGTCATTAAAAATTAAATGTTACATTATTTATACAAAAGTGAGCTAACTCTGGAACAGATCTCATCCAGCCAACTCTGGCAGTGATGAATGGAGAAAATCTACGGAACTATTATTGTAAATACAATAAATTAAATGTAAATATAAATATGACTGAAATAATATACACCTACATAAACTTTACATACTTACACCGATAAGTACTGTCATGATTGCTAGCAGTAAATTTATTCCACACCAGTGCCGAGGCGTTGGGGGTGCAAAGGGGTCCCAAGGTCAAGGGCGGCCCAGCACAGCCCTAACTGGTCAAAATACTTTTTTTACTTAAAATTATAAAATAAATGACACTATTTGAAAGAACGATATCCTGAACAACACAAAGGTGACGACGACAGGCTAATATGGAACAAATTACTTTTGTAATCGTGAATATGGAGGGGGCACCAAATTTGAGGTTGGCCCCAGGCTGCAGCAATCTACGCTACGCCACTGGTACTGTAAAACATTAGTGGAGAAAATTTACATAGACGTAAAGCCCTTTCTGACCGGTTTAATGCGGTTCCGTGTGTTGCGATGGGTTGCGAAGAAAATGAGTTTATACCATAAAACGGCTTTAAGAATCATTGTTCATAAAATTGTTAATGTGTAACAGACGCATTATGGCTCGAAGGGCATGTGTTTAATAATTATTCCACCGGGTATCTGCAAAGAGAACACGCCACTGGTGTTGATGAAAAAGTGACGGATTAGCAATTAATTAAATTAGGTAAATTTTTACAAACCTGACTTACTTTACTGCTTAAAGGCCTTTCTTTCACAATTAAAACGCCTTAATATTGATAAGGTCCATAACAGATTGCTTAACTGGTGAAAATGAAAGAGAGTAGTTAGTAGCAGTTGTGTAAGAGTTCGCCCAGGGAAGTACGAACCCAAGAAGGGGTTCCCGCCTTGTCGTGGCGGGGGGGCTCTAGTACGGGCGGGACTCGTCTGGTCAGCGGGACCGCGCGGATGCGCGAGGAGGAGGGTCGCGGGGGGAGAGACGTGTCGGTGTGTCGTTGCCGCTCGTCCTGTCCTCTGCGACCCTGGCGGGGCTGCACCGCTTTCGACGATGCAGTGGCGGCGGGGCCGCGGGGGAAGAGACGTGTCGGTGTGTCGTTGCCGCTCGTCCTATCCTCCGCGGCCGAATGTGGGCGGTTGGCCCGTGGTGGGCGCTCCAAGGGACTCCCTTCGGAGAGTCCGCGCGGAAGCGCGTTAGGTGTTGCGGCGGAGCCTGTCGTCAGATCCGCCGCGGGGCCTGGGGGAGCAGCCACTGAACTTCACAGTTGAGTGGATGCTGTCCTGGCCCCCCATGGCCCCTGGGTAGCGGACTCGGGGGAGTTCGTTGCCCAGCATAAAGGGGCCCGGGATGGAAGCCTCGTCTGGTGTTCGGCGAGCCTCACATTCGGAGTCGGGGGACCGATGTGTCTCCCTTCTCGGGGAGGGGCTGCGCAGGGCGCGGCCAGCCGCTGGTGGGGGCGCGGACGAGTGCAACAGCGTACCCGTACCCCCACCTACAGCGGAGAGAAGGAACACTCCGGGGGTTTAGTGCGGTCGGGCTGCTCCCCTTCAGGGTTCAGTCCAGTCCCACATAACCCCGGCTCTGCCCCCGCGGGGCCGGGGTATCTGTAAGCAGATTCCCCCGGATTAACAAAAAAAAAAGGGAAGTACGGCCACCTTACCTATTACTGCGTTAGTGATATGAAGAGTAAGGGTGCTGGTGGAATTACAGGCACATGGAACTTGCGAAGATTTGTCGCTAAACACCAGGCACACGACTTAGTCGTCCCGTTACTTGGTGAAAAACAAATTCTTAATCCTTGTTTAAGTCAAATGACCACACTAAAGTTTATAAAACGTGACTTTACAGCGACTAGTTTTTGTAAAGTATATTTTAAAATTATTATAATATTAAAGTAATCAGAAAGAATTTTTAGGATGTAGGTCTTTATGGCTGAATGTTTTATCATTATTGCCTAGGACTAACAGGGCTTAATCTTTGGTACTCTAGAATAATTGTCTTTTGTGAGTACAAAAAATTATTAGTTGTTATCACTGTAATAACGGCTAAGTTTGGAATCTGCACGGATTACGTAAGTTTGATAAAATAAAACAAGTTTTTAAATTGTTTATATTGACCTTATGGCCGAATCGTAAACACAACATTAATTTGAAAATATTTTTATACATTAAATATTCTTTCATGAAATATAATTAATAACTTATTAGAGATACAGTTAAAAGCATGCTTAACACTTAATATTGAAATTGATCACTATTCCACTTAAACTGTAGTGCTCGAAATTAGAAACATGAATTTTGCTCTTATAATACATATTACAAGTTACTATAAATAAACTCAAATCAACAGGTATAAATACAAACAATTTGAGACTCTTAAAAAATGTTAAAATGTATGGATTCGGCATATACAATAGTCAGTCTTAAGGCGAGAATAATATAAGACATTTCTTGTAAAACATACCTCTTTGTCAAAGTAGCCAAAGAGAGGGTAAATTTATGGATTCGGCATATACAATAGTCAGTCTTAAGGCAAGAATAATATAAGACATTTCTTGTAAAACATACCTCTTTGTCAAAATAGTCAAAGAGAGGGTAAATAATTGAGATTCGTGTTTGTTTGTTTGTGTTGAATTTAAGAAATTATTATTTAATTACTTCAATGATAAAAAATTACGTTTCATTTCATGTGTTATATTTCATTGGACAGAATGATTATAGTGTATTTACAAACTAATAAGAACTAATCTATGAAAACTTTATTGGATCACAGTATTAAAAATGCATTATAGTCACCAGTGTATAATGTACATAACAAAGAAATAAATGATTGGATTAAAATTAAAATTTGAGTAGTTCCTTAGCGGTCCTTTTTTAACCGACTTCAAAAAAAGAGGAGGTTCTCAATTCGACTGTAGTTTTTTGTATGTATGTTACGCGATAACTCCGGCCTGTTAACCGATTTTGATGATTCTTTTTTTATTGCAAAAGAGGGTACCTCAGTAGTGGTCCCATTTGAATTCGAAGAAAATATTCCACCTCTAAGGATGGCAAACTAGGGGATAAATGAATTTTTGAGGTCGGTTTCTTACCATACTTCCCACACGCCTTACTCTAGTACTCACTCCTGTGCAAATGTAATACATATAATAAACACAAATTATACCTTTATTTCAAATATTGAATTATTCTCAGCTCAGCTCACTTATCAACTACAATGACCTGCCTGCCCAATTTCATGGGGAATAAATATCGATCCTGTAATAATAAACACTCCCATGCCCACACTGTTATACTTTATTTTAAGATCAAAATTCATCACAACAAAGATTATTTCTAAATGCAGCAGTGGTTCAAAATAGATATTTCTTAAAATAACACCTTTTCGTTGTTAGGCATGTGCTGGTACTGGTTTTGCAACGTCTCATAATTCCGGTATGTCTTCCTGATCATCGCTAGGATGAAAGAGTAGAGTACTGTGGACAAAACAACTTACTCAATACTTCATTTAAACACTCGTAAACCTACCCGGTTCGATTCTGAAACTGTTCCATGACGTTTTTCTATGGGAAGATAGACGCAGTCGATTTTAATGAACTTATCACGACTGAAGGTCATCCCAAAAGACTATAAATTTAAGCGCAACAGTCTTTCGTAATCATTCTCATTTTTATTGTCTTTCTGTTTTCAAAGTTTTTCTTGCACACAAAATCTTACAATTCAATATTTTGCCACTAACTTGACGTGGTGACCTTTAACCTCATTTATCTCAGGTCACTGGTCGCGGTAAATAATCTCAGGTTTTATGCTCATTTGTAATTTCATGCCCAATTGCGCAATTTGACTAGATGTCAAGAAAGCTTCGTTCGCTTCGCTCGCTGCGCTTCGACTGTTTTTCAAAGTTGGACAACAGACTACCATACTTTCTTCGTATAAACCTTTCTTTTTTTTTATTTCCGACAATAAACATAGTTGTATAATACGTCTCGTCGACGACGGAAATACCAAAACATTATGACTACGTCACTTTTTAATAATTCGATTTCATCATAGGATTTCCCCGTAGACTAGCAGTAAAACCTGTATAGGTACTTACTAAAAAAACAAATCTCAGTACTAGGTTGTTTTTTCGCAGTTTTCCTCTTTGGCGAGGACCATAACCGTGTTAATTTTAAGAACAGAATCGATATAGAAATTATTGAATATCGGTGTGAAAATATTTTCAGGATCGATTTCTTTTATTTAATCGTTGGCTTTCCTTGTCGGTTAATCTTTAACACATAAATGCCAGCTTGTTTTGCTGGTGCGAAGAAATAAGGCACATATAAGGCAGATTCGTGCCAAATTGGGTTTTTTGTTATAATGCAAAAACCATACTATATTGAAATCCGTTACCACACTCTGTAGTTATAGTTGGCGAACTATTTGCACTGATTCGTCTTATCGCCTTCACCTTGAGTACAAAATGACAAAAGAGCTAACGAATCGTCTCGGTAACGCAAGTGCCATCTGCATAGTGCAAACAACTAGTTTAAGTACTTTTACGCAATGGCAAGAAAAGAGTCTGCTGTCGGTATTTTACGAAGAACCTGCTGTTAAAAAGAAATGGACCTGTTGAGTAAAGAAATAATTCAAAACTAGAATTCAGAAAAAGCATTTAGCGCACCCATGGCTGCTTTTGAAGTCCATGCATGCTTTAGAGTCGACACACAATACTGCGCAAGAATTTGCGAATTGCTCCGCATCGCGCATTCCGGCGATATTAATCTTCTTTGTGTTTGTTTCTTATACTTTCTTATCAATAACAGCAGCGCAACACTCTTTTTACGATACATGTCGCTACTAAGTTTAAACCATACGTTGAGAACCGTTGACGATCGTCGAAGGAATGGTTACCCGAACAGTGGCAGTGAGATGCCTTGCCGCACAAAATCGCATCGCAGCAATTCGCGCCGATTCGCAGTTTTGTGTTTCGACCCTTAAGTAAAAGAATTGATCAGTGCAAATAATTTATCTTCAACCATACCATAAAATTAGTTAAAGCTTTTGTGGATGGATTATTAACAGGTAAAAATGTTAGTAACGGTGCCGGACTGCAGGGAACACGCGACATTTGTTCGTTATACGGAATAGCATCTTAATAGATTTAAACTTACCGCAAACGACGAAGATCGAAACACAAATGATGAGTCCAATTTCCGACGTAGTAGCCAGAATGCTGATTGCAGAGAACAAGGATAGTACCACAACAATGATTCCGTATACGTAGTACGCTTTAATGTATTGTGGCTTTTGCTGAAAATTATAATGGGATTTAAGTGTGGAGTAGTGCATTTATTTATATAATTAATGTAGCTTAAGTGGGGAACTAACTAAAGTGCTAAAATCTTGTATGTAAAGATATAATAAATCATAACTTTAGTACAGTAAGCAAAACAATGCACTTTTTGTACAGAATTAATAGTATTTTACATTTATTATTATATTAATATTTTATTTTACATTTTTTAATTTTATTTTTTTATATGTAAGTACTATATTATACTTATTTTGTTACATGTCAACTTCTATACAACCTGTGTTTTCATAAAATAATATTATTTTTCAACAGGTACGTAGTTTATAGTTTTAAAAATAACCTTGCGCGTAGAGAATGCAAGTTCGAATCCTGCTCGGACATGCCGTGATAAGGTATTTTTAGATAGGCATCTACATTGAACGATAATATATTAAACAATTGTCAATAACAATTTTTTTTCACATATGCATATTTCAGAATATATTTAAGTATATTTTAGAAATCGTCTATATGTGTGTGAAATTTTCACATAACTCTAAGAGAATGTAGCTTCTACGTTATAGGCACATTACCTTTCGTACACCACAGACGAGAAGTATAGCAAAGATAAGACCCTTTGCTAAGATGAACAACGAGACGAAGGAAATAATGGTTCCTATTATCAACACAGGATCCACTTGATGCGTATGCACCAAGGATAGGAATACTCCCGCAATCATGAAGTACACAAACGCGACTAAAGATGTTAGAGTTGAGACGCTTACGAGGACCTAGAAAAAATGTTGTAATGAATTAGTAAGTACTTATTTTGTATTTGAGGTCTGACTTTAATTTAAAAATTAGGGACACTGAATCTATTTCTTGGAAACTCAAGATACTTTCTACACACTCCAGGTACCTTAAAGTTCCCTGCGCTCTCACGATAAATAACGCACACACTCATAGCCCCGCCGAAACCCTGTACCGCGGGTGCCATGAACACTACATAGACCACAAATTACACCCAAACTCACGAGAGAAATAAATGTAGGCCACACAAATATTCTTCCCGGCCCAAGAATCGATTCCGTGACCTCTGCGTGGCAGTCCAGCATGGTCCAGCATTTAAAAGCAGTAGAGCCCCTCGTAACGGCGGCAGAAACAGGTAAGGTGGCAGTACCGCCCTGGACGAACTCTTTCACAAGGAGCTCTACTGCTACTACTACAGTTAAACAACTGAAATATTTTACACACGAATGTAAGGACGAATCGCAGATACTTTCTTACTAACGTTACTTGCAAAAACCCGTACAAAATTCATCCCTTCTATTGTGTCAAACCAAAACACAATAAGCCTCGATAAAGTGTTTTGTAATTTCATGACAACAAGCATCTGTCGGCTGTTATCAAAAGAAAAGCAATGTATTAGTTTCTCAATATAAATAACTTATATTCCAGAGTAAAATTCAGTTGGTTAGATAGATTTCTTTAACATCTAATGTACAACGTAAGTTAAATGTATCTTTTTATGTTACCAACCTCAAAAATTACAAAACACCGAAAAATTCTATACGCAACTTTTTCTCAAAATGCTGTTTTTGATATTAGTGTTTTTGATTGACACAGTAGCCTTTAGTGGGCGTAGTAAATAGGGTTTTTTAAAGGCTTTGACATACACGGTAGCTGGAAAAATTCGTCGCTTCGAGGGGATTAGTCGACAAAGGACCTATTCGCAAAATGACCTATGGTCGTAAAACTACGTAATCGTGGTAGGCCTCATTCACAAAATGCCTTATTCGGGAAATACCCTATTCCACTTAAAAAAGCGTATTGAATATTAAAGGTCGTATTGTAGAACTGTACTCAATGCTTAAGTCAAGTCTTTGCAATTAGGGTCGTATTTGCAGTGCTCGAAATCATACTCAAATCCTGACTTGAGCATTGAGTAGAGTTCTGGAATACGAACCTTAGTAACGATCTTGAGCCGTTCTTAATGTAGGCACCACAAAATATTTTATTATTTCAACTGCCAAGTCCAAACAGTTTGTGTAGAATATATCATTAGGTCTACTGTATCAGCGTTACTCCTCCATACAATCCTAAAGCGAGTGAAAAGCAAAATAGAAACATCAAAAAGGTGCTTACCAAGTTGAAATAAGCAAAGATCTTTGTGCCGAATTCCGCTGTGCAGGAACTCGTGGAATTTGTTTCGTTGGAAGTCATGATGTTCCTGCGGATAACAAAGAAATATTGAATGTGTGCTGAACAATAGTCCCATAGAACAATAGTTCTTCTACGTAACTGATGTTATAATTATCGGTGAGGCAAGACCAGCGTACAATAACCTTCTGAGTTGTGAGTCACGTAATTTACGCAGCATTCGGTTTCATATAAAATATGCTTTCCCAAAGTGGTTCCCCAGTGGGCGCTGAAGAGTCATAGGGGAAGGCCTCGGAAGTAATTGGATGGTGTCCAGGGGGTGTTACCGCATTCGAAAAAAAGAACCTGGGGGCCTACTATGAGCTTTAAGCAACCAGCCAAGTTCCATGAAATTCATACGACGTGGTAAAACTGAATTGCTTAAATACGTAAATAAAGTTGAACGAGAATGGCAAGGCAAGATGATGAGTTTTACTTTTTAAACATTAATTATTGCCTCTGCCTGGCTAGTTGACATCTAACAAGAGCGAGATGGAACTACATTCTAAATCATATGAAAGAAATAGACAGATACACTACCCTGGGAGCGTTCAAGCACCCGATTATTGGTAGAAAGCGCGTATCCGCACCAAACCGAATTTCGCTTTGTTATTTCAATGGCTACAACTCTCATTTTTGCACAGTGAGCTTTAACTTATGTTGTCTACGGACTGATAACAATAGATTCCCGTAAATCACGCTAATTTAGTTGCCACGACTTTACGCGGATTTGATTAGGCGACTTAATTACCGAAATGGAGACTCATAAACAAATGCTAGTTACGCGTTATTGCACTGTCCCCGACGAAATTAATTGAATGGGTAACCTTCCAAATCTCAAAACGCTATACGAATTGTAAATAATACGATTTATATAAAAAAAGATTTGTGAATATTTTCTCGGCAATAAAACTATAATTAGCTTTCAGTAGAACCTATTTTGATAATGGTAGGCCAATGCATTAAAAAATAAATAAAAACATTCACATTTGTGTAGATTAAAAGTAGAAATAATAGTTAACAAAATATCAAGTCTATGCCTTTCCGAAAAAACCAAGTGGTATGTATGGCCCACGAGAATTCTTATAACAGAGCAGAGGGATAAATACGTTTTTTTGCCGTCGCAACTTTTGAGGAAAATCGCACGAGATATTATCATTGACCGTGGTCTGTGTTCGAACGTACTTATCTCGTTATACATAAATACCGGGTGGAACAGAACGACCGACAAAGCGGAAAACTGTGAAGAGTCTTAAATATGTACTTAATTGTACTGAAAGTCTTTTTGCTCTAAGTGTAATAGTTTCCGAGTTATTCAATGATAAAGATTTGCTTGAAAAGTCTGTATTGTCAACCCTACATCATAAAACACAGCTGTTTGGAGGCAACTACCGGGAGGTACTCAGGGCAAAAACTTTGTAATTTAGTAGGTCGTTGACCTCCGTCGTTGATCAGCACCCCATCAGTCGCTTTCTTTGATCAACCACTTTCTTTGATCAGTCATCATGTGAATGATGATTAATTACGCGGGTATTTTATTGTATTACTTTGAGAGTAATTCACACCCCTAAATTGAGTGTTTGACGACCCAATATTTACATTTACCGAAAAAATGCACCTCTCATAGAATCTTCGGGAAACATGTTGTTTTTAAACCTTTGTAGGTAGTTTATGACAACGCATAGTTGACAGGGTCATTTAGACTTCACTTTTCTTAGGTTGTTGTCAACTTAAGAAAAGTGAAGTTTTCTAAATGACCCTATCAGGAGTTTAACTCATATTGCCTGCGTCATAAGATAAGACTAACTTAAATAAACATAACTAAATTAAGTAAACACGTTCTACAACATGCGTCAAGTACCTACTCAAATTACAATAGTCTCGTAACTCTTAATCCGGCCCTAACGTAAAATAGTAAATTGAGGCAGCCAATCACGTCAGTAGAAATTTAGAGATGGACACTTGATAACTGTTATCTGTTTTTGCTAGCATAATGGGGAGATCGTTTTTTTGTACTAGTCTATTTATGAATGCATTTGGAAATAGTTTTAATTTACACTACAAGAATTTACTTAAGAATTTACTAACTTTAAAACGAAGAGTTCATTCTATTGATATCAACATTTAAAACTAAAATTTCTGTTAACTTGAGCTGTGTAGTTTAAATTTTAATAAATGTAATGTAAAAATAAATAAATCGGAGGATCTTGGAGGTCTGCAGACCACCTCCACGTTTCGCTTTCTTAGTTTTGATTAAATTTGATTATTTATTACAATTCATTAAACGATCTGCATTTACTTTACTTTTACTTTTAAATTGCTCATGGTACTTATACCAGACAATACGATTATTGCGAAAGTTTTCTTTATCATAATTGTCTTTTTAAAATTAACATTTAGATATTTAATAATCAATGATATCCGACGCGTACGCCGCCGCCGCGCGCATCTCTATGCAGAGTTGCCAATTAAGTGACTTTGTCCCTTTATGTGATGATTTGAAATCAAAAGCGTCTTTTATTTCTAGCGACAAAAAAAAAAATTGGTATTTTTGACACGTATTTAATTAGGTTTAATTTTATTTAATATTTTATTTTATAATTTAATAATTTAATATTATTTTTATCTTAGTATTCAGGAGTCTTTTACCTTTACTGGGAACATTCTGTTTAGTGATATTTGCTTTAGTCTAGTTGGTAACACTTTTTCATTCATAAATTAGTTCAAAATGCCTGGTTGTATGGTAACTCGTGGTCTCATGTTTTTCTCGTGTTTACAACAAAAAAACAACGTTTACTTGTTGGTTTTTGGGTTGTGACAGCAACTTTTTAGAATAATGCCGTTATTAAGTAGTGCTTGTGTTAAGCAAGTGAAATGTATTAGTGTGTTTGCGTGGAAAACCACATCGGCGTATGACCGGCACACCCAGGAATGTGTCTGGAATGTCTGCAAGAGTAAAGGGGACGTGGACAAATCGAACATCATTTTAATTTAAAGTAAGTTCAATGTTTTTTAATTACCTATTCAAGTGAGAGCACTTATTTCTTTTGCGAGTGCCAATGACACGAACGCCGCCTGTGGGGCAGTAGATGTACTAACACGATTGATTCGCTTAGGGTTGTTGCACCGCGAAAGTTTTAAATCTGGACGAATATTTTTCAACTGCTCTGATTTTACATTTAAAGTAAATAAAACTCATGTATGTTGGGTTCTCAACGTGATATTTTCGGCTTTGTCGGTCGTTCCGTTCCACCCTGTATAATTATGATGTTACACAATAATTTGAAACGTACTATAGATAATTACTTTTGTATGTCATTGAAAAAAACCAACCTCAAAAGTCGTTCATCTCCTAGTTCGCCACCCTTAGAGGTGGAATATTTTCTTCTGATTGTACCTCTAAATGGGACTACTCCTGAGGTCCTACCCTCTTTTAACAAAAAAGAATCATCAAAATCGGTTCGAAAAGTTATCGCGTAACTTACACAAAAAAACAATCGACCTGACAACCTCCACCTTTTTTTTAAGTCGGTTAAAAATAATATAGACTGTGTTACATTAGATACACAGTTTGGCATATAACCGAGGGTAACGTTTTTCGTGCGTATAATAATATCGCATTTTGTTGACAAATGCTACAAAGCTATTAGCTATTTTACCTACTTTCTCCGCGGTAATAGTGCACACGTCATCGGATTATTATCTTGAACAATAAATACAGTAGAAGTGGTTAGTAGCGTCCGACAGGTGCCAACTATAGGTCTCGAAAGACCTATTTAAGCTCAGCCCGCCATTGTCGCTGTGTGATAGGTATGGTTGTGTGTGTGTCACACAATGTGCTGTTTTGACTGCAAAAAATCTATTCGTTCAGATGTTAATCGTTCGTCGTAGTCCAGCTACTGATCGCAAGATGGCAGCACTTAAGGTATTGAACTTTCAACGTTATAGCGACTGAGTAAAGTTTAAATTATATTAAAAGAATCTTTTTAAATTAGAAACTATGATTAATCGTTATCAGGATTTCATAGCGTGTCTTTTTAATTCTCCACTTCCATTGTTTTTTCTTCTGTGTTTTTGTCTACTCGAAGTCGTATTTAGCTACCCCTCTATTCGGTAAGGGTATCTCTCGATTACTCTCCATAATTCTTTTTGTGTCTAAGTAGTCCCCTCACTCGTTTCATGTAAATACTTAAAATTATAATAGGACCCAATTTTATACAAGTGAAACGCATTTAAATCCACGCTATAGATACTTTAGTAGCAGTAGAGGTCCTTGTTAAAGAGTTCATCCAGAGTGACGGACACAGTGACAGTGCCCCTCAAATCCTAGCCATATAAAGCTCTGAGTGGCACTGCGACTGTTGTAGACAGGCGTGTCGCTTAACACCAGGCGCGCATGACTTGTTCGTCCCGTCACTTGGTATTAAAAAAAAAGTTTTACGGAATGCAGGTAAGTGTTAACAAAAAATATTTCTGCGTAACCACCTACGCTTCGGATAAACAGTGCTTAATCATCCTTCAGATACAGACATCGATAACGAGTTTGCCCATGTGCAATACTAATAATAATAACGCACACACTCGACATAGCCCCGCATTAGGGAAACCCTGTGTCGCAGGTGCCATGGACACACAAATCGACAATTACAAATTACACCCAAACTCACGAGACAAATAAATGTAGGCCATACAAATATTTCTCCAGGCCCGGGAATTGAACCTGGGACCTCTGCATGGCAGTCCGGCACGGTAACCGTTCGGCCACAGAGGCAGTTAAATAAAATAAAGTTAACTGATCTTCCGCTGGGTATTATATAACAGCGTATGAAAATACTTGTGCCTAATTTCCAATCTTCACAGCAGACATAGAAAGTCCAGTGACTGTTATAGTTATAAATATAAATTATTATAATATCCTTTCACTATAATAACCAAACACAACAATGCCTGTTTTTTTATTTTCACCAAATTTACACCCATTTCATTGGGTAAACAAAGGTTCTTCCCCACAGAACAATAAATACAGTAGAAGTGGTTAGTTAGCGTCTGACGCGTGCCAACTAGAGGTCTCGAAAGACCTATCAGAGCTCAGTCCGCCACTTTCGCTTTGTATAGTGGTTCTTTCGAGCACATTCTCCAAAGTCCTGGAAGAAGGCCTTATTTCGCTGTTTTGGAGTGCAAAAATGATAACCGCACCAAAAATAATATTCGTGGTTGTATTTCGTATCATCGGAAAGTCTCATTTTAATAAATGGTCTTATTTTCTCTTTATCGAAATATTTTTTTTGTTACAGGAGACGAAAGTACAGCTTATACCCCTGCAATATGCAGGGCTAGCACAAACAAGCGCGATTTGCGCGAGAGCGACTAGATCTCTTTCCGAGAATAGCATTATCTCACTCTCGCTTTATGTCACTCTCGCGCTAGTCGCGCCCTATCGTGCTAGCCCTAATGATCGCTTCTTTTTAGGAGAACCAAATTAATAACTCCAATTTGCCGTCGTTCAGCAATTAACCGTTAGATGGCAGTGTTGAGCTGAATCTTTTATTATTATATTATTATTTTTATTATCCATAACAGTTACAGTGCCACTCAGAGCTTTAAATCGCAGATCTGAGGGGCACTACCACTGCGCCCGTCACCCTGAGACAAAGGTTGACAAGTGTGCCTGTAATTTCACCAATGTAATCTTTTTAAATGTGAAACTACGACTCTGGGACCAATCAATATCGAGATTTTCTAGTGTTTCAAATTAAGAATGTGTCAGTTTTAGCGACATCGGTTCTTCCATCCCTAAGGTTCTGATAGTAATCGAGGCTTAAGTCACTTCATTGTTTCTTTCTTCCGTGGTTCTACCGTACAGCCTTTTCTACAGTCTTTGAACGAAAACGCAGTATTGCCAAATACCTACTACAATTTTGAACGGATGACTAATAAACTGAGCATACAGCGACGACGAGAGCATTTATTTATTGTAAACAAAACATCACGTAGCAGATAGGTACCACCAAGCAGTACCTACATGTGTTGTGTAATTTGTATTTAGTCATCAGAAGATGGGTGCTTTATTCACGGTAGTTTCACTTGCTCTGCTCGTCGCTGTATGCTTTTAGATATAATCCAAAATCGTATTATTCTATAATATTGCGTTGTTGTATAAAGGCAGCGACATACTAATATTTTTTCCTTGTTTCACGTACTTTCTAATCAATTTTTTGCAATGGCGGCCGGCCGTCAGCGTTTCCTTAACATTAATTTGATACGTACCCTTTTTTATTCTTATTTCTATAAATATCAATTCTTGATTAACCAATTTGAAAGTAATTTTCTAACAAAAACAATAAAGTCATTGTCACGATTCGCTAACACCATGCAATTTGCGACTAATCGCAACATGAATTGTATATATATGTATATACGTACCAATTCACGTGCTACACCTACTAGCTTTTCAATCAAATCAGCTAAAAAGCTCTTACAACGTCTTTGATAGGAATTTTGCCACAAACCATAAAAAATAAAGTTTAACTACGACGTATAAAGAAGAGATTAGTAAATGACACTCACGTTTAGGTAGCTTTAAAATCCAAACCAGTCACTAATTCCAATGAAAAACGAGAATGACCGTTCTACGCAACAGCAAGATTTCGACTATACTTTATTGGTAGGTCAATGATACTATACATACAAAATTGGTGGGGCGGCCAGATGTGCGTGAATGTAAAGAATTGTTTGACCTGACGTTCGTACAAGACTGACGTCATGCGCCTGCCGCGCCGCGCCCGCCGGCCGGCCTCTTCTAAACGCGTTTGCGCACAGCCACAGCATCCGATTGGTATTCGTTCCGAATCCGAGACAATGCAAATCTAGAAAACTCCGACCCACTTCGGATGTCATAAGTCTGGGGGGCTACTCTCGATCTCCGTCCGAAACAATTACTGTCAAACAAGTAATATTCGACAAAATTAAAAGACAAGTATCCAGTATGCATCGTTCATTCGCATCACGCGTCTTTTCATTTGGTCAAGTATTGCTTATTTGGCATTAATTGTTTCGGACGGAGATCGAGAGTAGACCCCCAGATTCGAATCCGAGAAAATACGAATATTTAATTTATTTTTTGTTTTTATTATTTAATTAATACAACTAGAGATAAAATGACAATAGCAAGACACTTTTTTAACGAACGGTAGCAACGACGCAAGGAGTCTCCTTTTTAAAAAACACTTTTTATCCTGTTGTTTTGATTAATTTCACAACACTCACTGATTTTGCAGGAATATATCACGAAATTTTATTCTTTATTACTAAAATTTAAAGTCATACACAAGTTTAACAGTCGTACAGAGAAAATTTTGTAGCCGATATTTACGCTCTAAAATTCCTTAAAGTACTAGGTATTTCACGATGATAATAGTTTTCCTGGCGAATTGAACAACTATGAACACTTATATAAACATTAAGAACTGGAAAACTTATAGTAGCTATTTTTTTAAAATAAATTAACACAGAGCGATGTTCGTTAGGCGAATGCAGCGCCCTCCCTCAACTTCACTTCGGACACTTCGGACACCTGTGACATTTTTTGTATACTATAGGTATCCCCTATACCCAAGACTCATATTAGCTCTTCTCATATTTGCTCACACAATAACATTATTGGCCAGTTTATTGTCAATGGTTATTACCTAACTAAATGAACAAGGGCAAACAAAAATTTTCCATTTTTGTTCATATTGTTATAAAGAAACGTAGGTAACATGAAACCAAACATATAAATCGCAATTATTCAGCTCTTGGATTAATTATGCATCTCTTGGACATTTTTTTCAAAGGCAAAGGAGTCCTCGTACTTTCTAATGCGGAATGGAGTCTTATTACACGGACATAGCTTTTTCCGAATTAATTTTTTATAATGCGATTCCCAGTATTGTGATGTTCCGGCAAATGTAATGGCTCCCTAAAGCTGGGGTCGCTCTTGCGTCTATCGTCACGAAGAAGTATTTCGTGTCGAAGCTTTGTACGTACGTACGTACATCATTTAACTCGCTAAAAAGTTATCGCGCTGTTTCGGTGGCCGCTCGCTAGCGGCCTCGTAATTTTAAACGAATTGTCGTATAATAATCCACATTTCGCTTAATATTACCATCGCCGTTGCACATTACATTGCCCATTAAGTATTACATAGACTAAAATCACTACGTGCTTATTTTGCTACTTAGCGATTTTACTTTGTAATATTGCAGCCTTATATTTAGCAGTTGTAACCTGTTTATTATTAGTATTATTACTAAAAGAATAATGTTGTGGACCAATATTTTATATTCGGTACTGTGTGTGTATGATGAGCGTTAGTAGCGACACCTGGCGAACAGCGTTACTTAACAGTACGGCGTGGTATACCTACTAGGTCCTATCAACTAGTAGGTATGTGGTAAACTCGCTAGGTGGTGCTATTAATATAAATATCGATATTTAGTTCATATCGGGAACGCCCAGACAATGTTTATGGCAATTGCAATGGTTCAATGCTTGGACCTTTCTCATTTACATTAATGATCTGCCAATCTTTGTTAATCATGCATTACTGCAGTACCTACTTTTTTACGGGAGGAAATGTTTATAGATACACCTGAGCCCAGGGAGACTCAGGGGTTATGTGGGGACTCTTCCTCCAGACAGGAGGGCCTACCCCACTAAAACCCCCCCGGGTTTACCTCCCGCCGGTTGAGTCGGCGCCGTGGGGTCGATGCACATTCACCGCGACCCCGCCCGGCCGCCCTGGCTTGCGCCAGGGCTCCCGCGTCAACGGAGGGGCTGGTCAGTTGTCCTCCGACCCGCCCTCCAGACGAGTGAGGCCATGCAATGCTGGTTCCGGAATCCCTGCCCAGAGCCCGCTGGCCTCACTAGACGATCCGGCGAGCAGCGAACTGCCTTCGCCTTCTCCCCGTACGTCTGCGCCGGAGCGGGTGGGCGTCCGCCGCGTCCTCGCGCACCCGCTCCGCAGCCTCCTTTTGCGACATAACCTCTTCGCAAAAGGAGGCCACCACCGCCTCCCAGGACTCCTCACTACCGAGTATGGCAGCAACCACGCCCGGCAACGAGAGGTCCCGCCCTATTGTCCCCGTCAGGGTACGGCGCTGCTCATCCCACCGGCTGCACACATCTAGGGTGTGCTGCGCGATGTCATCCGCAGCGCCGCATTCATGGCACGACGGGGAACGGTTCCCTCCTCGCCACCTTGTGCAGGTAGTGACCGAAGCAGCCGTGCCCGGTCAGCACCTGCAGTACCTACTGACTGCACGCGTAGTTGAATGTTAAATATACACAAACTGTCCGTCTAACAGCAGCCTAAGAATGGTCTTAACTAATGGAAATTTTCGCGTCAAATATTGTTTCGGAGTACAAAATAGTTGTAATTAAGGCGAGTTTAAAATGTTCTTTTTAATTAATTTATTTATTTATTTATTTATTTTTGGCATAACTACAGAATACAAATTATATGGTTCCTTAAGTAAGCATGCATTACAATATAAGTAAATTATGCATTCCTATAACAGCTACGCACAACATTTGACAA